CCCCCCCCCTTCGTTTTCCCGTATCTTAGAATATGCGTGTTCACTTTAATGTTCGGCGGACGTCTCTCTTACCGCGGAACCATTAATATATCGCCTGTTTATTTTGTAATTAGACGATGAGTCACAATCAGAATCCGAGGCCTTGTCGTCCTTTAACATCAGTCGCGCGACGCATGAATCCAGCACTGCCAAGAGTCCTATTCAATCACCGGTTTCTGTTACCTCGGAAACGGAGGAGGAGAGTAGAGATGGTAAAATTCATGTATTTAAATGACAAATCCTCGAGGGTTTTCACCGTTACCCACCGTTACCGTATTCTGTCTGTCTGTTGTACAGGGTGTCCGAAACTAAAGTTTCGGTGGTGCGCAAGTAGAACGGGTGGTGAAACTGTGAGCGGAAGAGTCACGGTCACCATTTTGCAAAATTCGCAATAGTTGGTGAGGAATTAATTATTCTGTCTGAGCTTGATGATTAATCCCTCGCCAACTACTGCGAATTTTGCAAAACGGTACACGACTTTTCCGCTCGGTTTCACTCGTTCTACTTGCAAAACCACGGAAACCGAGATTAGTTTGGGACATTCTAGCGATGGATTTTTCTTTTTTACGTTATTAACGAACACTCGCGTGCTCCTTTTCTGCAGAACCCCGAGTATTGCGAATAGAAACGAAACAAGTGCCTGCGCCGAGTCAACCCGAAGTCGTTTTAAGCGACGGTAAGTCTTCTTTTTCTCCATTTCGCCCCAGGTAGACTGTCTGTCGGTCTGCGCGAACGTGGTTGATGAGTACTATGGTAGTTAGTATTATATGTCGCATGTGACGATTTAGTCAGTCTGCACGGCCGTGACTCTTGCTACTTGCAACCGACTCGCGCGAGATTTGCAACAAGTTTCCTGCAGGTTATTAGAGCGGAACAAATGGCACGTTTACGTGTGTGTGTGTGTGTGTGTGTTTTGGTGCATGGTAATTGCGTCTCGCATGAAGATATATCCCGATAACGATGCACATGCTAATCGGTGTGTTACAGTAGCGTTCGGCCCGTATTCTGGACATACATGCAACAAGTTAATTTATATTAGTAGTTTCGAATAGGAATTTTGCTACAAACAAACGCGTGATTGTCGATTTTTCCTAACGTTATCACCGCGCTTAGAACACACACACAGAGAAAAAGGTTTCTTTAAATTCAATATTTCTATTTATTTGATTGAAATTTGTGTCATAGAAACAATACATACGAAATATCATTCTTTTGAGTAAAAATTGTATTGTCTCATTCAAGAAAATTCTATTATTTAACAGAAAGAACGCTATTATATGAAATAATATCTTTTAACCGAATAAAATATTATTCGGTTATGATAAATATGAAACAATTTCTTTATAAGAAAATCAAAGGAATTTCGTATTTAAGATATTCGTTGAACTCGTTGAATTCGAGTCTAAGTAATCGTATTTCGTTGGATGCAATAAAATTGATTGAAGACATCTTCTCAGTGAGAATTCTCACGTCTCTTATCTGCGTTAGCGCGCCAATATCGTCGCAAGCGCTCTCAGAACACGGGCCGTACAAAATGCGTGTTCACTTCACTCGCGTCTATCCACGAACAGGTGAGTGCGCATGTGAGTGAATATTGCCTGTCGGAATTTCCTCGTAGCATTTTTCACGTCTCGAGAACTCTCTTTAATTTATCCGCTATCTCGTCGTATCGTCGCATATTGATAATAACAATGGCCAGCGCGTCGGTGTGTAAATTCCGTGGCGGTTCTCTCATGAGAAACGTCTTATTGGCGGACGGACGTCGTGATGATTCGTACACATATTTATTTTTGATGTACAGTGAACGATGCTACCACAGAGTTCCTCAACGAGATGCGCAGCAGAGAGATCACAGAGCGACAGAGCGATTACAAAGGAGGTGAGTGATCCCTCACTTGTGATATACACTCGCAACACAAGATCTTCGTGTGTGTGTGTGTGTGCATCACATCTTGTTGTGCGACGCACATCTCATCCGGCTGCACCTTTTCCGGTATGGGAAACACGCCACTCTTCCCCGCTCCGCAATTATAACCGCTAATCGCGCATACGAATTCTTCATTTTAATCTCACCGTTAGAGATACGTGGGCAAATGGGTCGCAGGATTGTCGCTTTTGCCCACGTGTGTCTAATGCGCAACCCACGAAAGCTTTACTTCTCGTCTCCTTTCGCCGACTCGAAATAACAACGATCGAATCGCATCACTACTGATCACGTAAAAGCACTCTCTTCTTGCCCCGCTTTTTCTTTTTCCGGTGTGAGATTTCGAAAAGCTGGCACGTATCTCTCTGCACGACCCTCGCTCCTGTTCATCGTGCCTTCTTTCCACACGGAAGAAAGATTAGTATTCAACTTGAAACTCATATATCGTATGTAAGTAAGAATGTTAATTTCATATGAAGATAAAATGTATGAAGAAATTCCATATAATTTCTCCATGTAGTTCCAAAAATATCGTATTCTTGTTATTCAAGAATAATTTGCATGAGTCAGGAGGAAAAAATATTATACATAGAAAGAACAATATCTTTAAGCTGATATGTACAATTTTTAGTTTGAAGGTATCGTAGGTTGCTATTTTTTCCTTTTAATTTATGAAAATGATTTACATATATTCATGAATAACATGAATCTTACATATGTATTTTTAGTAGAATTATATATTGTTTATACGTGGAGAGAATTATGAGTCTATTGGTGCTAATTTTTGTTCTGTGCAACTAAAGGGTAAACGTGACAAGGAGCTTTCTCTAGAACATACTTTTATTTGATTGTTTCGCTTTAATCGTACGATAATAACGTGCGTAACACGCAAAAACAAGCAGCATGTTCGCGTGATAACTTTAGTTAATTTCTAGCTTGAAATTCAAAGAGATGTAAGGTATTCGGCTGAAGCGCGCCGAGAGTGGCTCTATTTCGAGCGCGACGAAGAAGACTCGCGCGAATGGTATCCGCGTTCTCTTCTCCGTGAGATATGCACCGTCGTTCGTCGGATTATTTTGGACGTAATGCTTGCAGATTGCGAACTATCCAGCAGTTATAGCAGCACGAGCAGCGAACGTGTGCGAATGTACCGTAACGACCGACGGTTCTCCGAGTCTCTTTACAGTCCCCCTCGCTTGGAGAAAGCACGAATCACTACGACCGCTGAACGGAAGAAACCCGTTCTGATTACACGCTCGAGGATGCTCGCCGACGACCGGAGCGCCGAATCGTTCGGCGAGATCTTCAATTCGCGTTACGAGGCAAGACGGAGATTTTTCCAAGACTTGGAACAACAGCCGGGAAGAAGAGCGAACAGCGATGGGGGCGAACAAAATTCCACGGCGCGCGAAATTGCGAAAGTGGACCGTCGGACCACAAATGCCGTGCTAGACGTCACGAATCCCGCTGAGGTGGAGGGAAAGAGTGCTGCATCCTGCCGAAATGGTCAGATCGACGAATCGTTCCCCAAGGAAGTTGTTTCCGCAGGCTGCAACGTTCCTACAGATTCGACACTCGACGCGAATAAAGAAGGTGCGACAACGTGCGAAGAAGCAACGCTTAAATGCGAAGAGATTTCGTTGAGCGGTCCGCCTACCGAGAAGCGTGCGACGGAAGACAAAGGGACGTCGCAAGATATCCGATCGTGGATCGAGAGTCACTCAGCCGGCGAGCTCGCGGCGAGGACCGGCACACCCGAGTCGTACTACGAGGACCTCACGAGGATGGTCGAGAGCATGGACGCGAACAAGACGTCGTCGAGGACCGAGTTGGACGCGCTGCCCAACACCGACACCTGCCTCAAGTACAACCTGGACTCGACGAATATGAGTCTGATTTACAGCCTGACCCCGTCGATGGCGGTCGACGACGACGACACGTCGCAGGACCTGGCGGCGGAGCGCTCCTCGGACGGCAGCGACTACATATGGATGGAATCGACCACCGGTGGATCGGCGGAAGCCGTGAAGTCGTCGCTCGTCGATTGTCCGTACGAGACGTCCGGCAGCAGCGACTGCGAGCAGCCGCTCTCGGCGAGCTCCGGCTCGGACATACTCGAGCTGCCGAGCCGCACGGTGTTCGAGCTGAACGACATCGACGGCGAGGTGTTCCACAGCGGCATCAACGAGTCGACGAACGAGATCATCGCCGAACTGAACGCTTCTTCCCCCGACGACTCCGTGCGGGTCGCGCGCTGCATCCTCGCCGAGGTCGTCGAGTGCGTCTGCGTCCTCTCGCGCTTCGACGCCTCCATTTGCGAGCTCGCCGTCGTGAGGGAGCTCGTGCGCCACCTGCTCGACAACGACGCTTGTCGGATGAAAGACTTCCCAACCGAGAATCGAGCCGAATCCTCCGCTGTGATCGAATTCTGCACCGTCGCGAGGAGACTGCCGCTCGTTGTCGCCGACGACGGGACTCTGCGGTTGAACTTCCGCGTCGTCGGAGCGGAGTGGCCCGGCAGAAGGCCGAAGGAAAACGCGCACTCGGAGTCGCCGAGTCGATTGACGCCTATAAACGAGGAACCGGACGACGATTATAGCTTCAACGACGACTCCCGCCTGGTGGTCCGCATCGACGATTCCGCGAGGAGGAATAGGATCGTGTCTCTCGACGACACGTACACGATCTCCGAATACAGCGACAATGACGATTCCTCTGTCGATTGCGCGTTCTGCCCTCACGACATCAAAGAGTTCGTGCGCCTCGAGAAAGCTGTCGCGGAGAACTCGCGATTCAACGCCGCGTAGTCGTCGCCGAGATTTTATCCGGATTTTTCGCGATCGATTAACCGAACCGCCGGGAGGAAGCTGCGATTTTATTAACGACCGATTCAACGTCCCCCCTCGTTGACGAGAGTTTGGTGCGCGTCTTAAGCGGTCGACGGTGAAAATTTTACTCTCGGTATTGTCGTTCGTATCGTATGTTATCGCGCGGAGCGCTGAACATAGGATTGAAATATTTGCTTGATTTCTTTTTAATTTTCTTCTCTTCACGATTCTACGACGTCTGTTTGCGTACGTTGCACGTTTTCCGTGCGACTAACTTTACGCAGGACTCGAGTATTTGAATTCGAAGAGAAAATTTTCGAATCAGCAGCATGCGGAAGAATACCATTTGTTTCCTTATTTTTCAGTTTTTTCCTTTTCTTTCATTCAGGCTCCTGGATATCCCGTGTTCTTCTTTAATGATGTCGGAAGCGAGAAGAAAAATTTATGCGACGGTATATGTGGAAGTAAAAGCACACTTGTAAAAATGGCCGTTCCTCTGGCCTGAACAATTAATAAATAATCGTAAAATTAAGGCAACAGAAATCATAGGAAAAGATAGGGTAAAAACGTAAGTTGCACTAATTTGCAGTTATTTATCAATTGTTCGGGTTAAAGAAAAGCGTCCGGCCATTTTTACAAGTGTGCTGATCACGAGTGTTATTTTGTGCGTATATTTTTTTCATTTCCACGTATACCGTCGTATAATTTTTCTGGCGTCATTAAAGAAGGACAGCAAGTATCCAGGAGCCTTAAGATTCCTGACTAGTCGCTATGGCTGTTTAATGACGTCAGGTGAGCGAGGAAAGATTTCCTGCGTTATACTCTCAAATAAGAAGATATATTTACAAAACGACACTTGTGATCGGCATACTTGTAAAATTGTCCAAACATTTTCCCTTTATTCGAACAATCAATAAATTAACATTGGCAAAAAAATCGCGAAAGAAAAGTTTAGAAAGGAAGTGTCAAGTTAATTTTGCCATTATTTATTGATTATTCTCATAAAAGGATAGCGTTCAATTTTACAAGTGTGTCAATCACAGACGTGTCATTTTGTAGGCATATCTTTTTATTTGAATGTATATAATAACGCAGAAAATCTTGTTTCCTCGCTTCTAACGTCATTAAGCAAGTACAGTCACACTATCTGCTCCAAGAGACTTAAAGTTTTGTCACTCGGAAACTAAAGATTTTTCACGATGAAAGTTTTCATTTATTTTGTTTTATTTATTTTACGGATGTTTTTTTTGTTTTCGGCCGACGAGAGTGCGTTCGATGAATAATATTGCGTTATATACATCGGTCTGCGAATAAAACGATGTGTGAATGAACTTGAGCCCGCGTTTATATAGTTTATGTATTTTCTCAAGTGTGGTGTATCTGTCGCACGCAGTTTTGACGCACGTTCGATGACATAAAAGTTTGCACATTCAAGCTTCTCATTCTTCTACACCCAACCTCTATTCGGATTAATCCTCATCGTTATCCCGCTACTATCCGACGCATCCTTCCTGCAAGCTGAGAATGGTTGTTGGGACGCTAAAGATGTTTGCTTGGGAATATTGATTTTCCGTAACAAGTCCGAGAATAAATACCTCCTGTCAATCCGACGATCATCATTTTCTCAAAGGTAAGCTTTCTTTCTTGATCTCTCTCTTCACGTCGGCAATAACGTCACCGTTGCTTAAGCTCTCAGGCGGTAATAATCACTTGGCTTACAGATCACGGGAATCGTACGCTTTCTCTTATTTAATCGTAATCGACGCGCGTAATCACCGACAGCGCATTCTTTATGTTTCAGGAGAGAACACCGTGAATGGCGATCACTCGGACGCTCATCACAGCACTTTCTCGCAAAGTAGCAAGGAGGTTTGTAGCAACACTCTTAACACATTAAAGTGCCGCACGATGTATGCGGGTATTGTCCGCGGTTAACTTTTCATGCGTGTGTATATACATCTAATTCCGAGGCAAAGAGAGTGTAATTAGCAGCCGGGTAAACGGTGCATTTCGAGTGTCAGGGCGCAAAAGCGAGAAAGCATTTCGTCGCCGCGAAAGGAGTCCGCCAATCTCCGCATATGTACGTCACTTTCACATATCACACCGCATTTGTCGGCGAAACCCACCTCTTCGAGAATCGTTCATTACGTGTCTCTTATATTTCTTCGATTATCTTGAGTTCATCTTTAGATATTGTATTGGCCGGACACTTTTTGCCTTTAGGCAAATGAATCGTTGACACAACGTTATTGTTGTAATGATATTTGTAACATTTTCAAATGCGTAGCTATTAATGTTACCGGTGACAATATTTGACCGAACATTAAAAATAATATTTTCACACCATAATTTTAATATTTAAAAATGTATCACCAGTTTGCAAACATTTATCAAAAAAAAAGTGTTTATAAGATGAATATTTTCAAAGATTGGTTTCTCGCTCACTTGAATAGAAAGGAAACGTCAGTGCAGCGTTATTTCAGCTGAAACGAACAGACTTGTCGATGCATCCGAAGACTCGAACTTGAGACGATCTTGAATAGATAAGAATCTTGAGATAGAAAGATCTGACTATGAATACCGGCCGCATAGAGAGTCTGAGCGAATTGTCGCTTTGCGCCTTGCGTTGATATCACATTAATTTCACTATTATCTATATATCATTCAAAGCATATAGTCGTCCGCATAGATTCGCTTTTACAAATTGTCTCGGCTTGCATGCGGTCGGATAACCGGCGATAGAACGATTAGAGAGAGGGAGGGAGAAATTCGGCGTTCTATGCATGTGCATGCAGAAAGGTTTATGGTTACGGTTGGGACCTTCCGTGTTAAGGGTTCCATGTCGCAGGATGTGAGCGTTAGCGAGGAGTCGCCAAAGAAGGAGAAGAAGAAGAAGAAGGGCCTTAGAACGCCGTCCTTCCTCAAAAAGAAGAAGGAGAAGAAGAAGTCGGTCGAGGCGTAGGTAGTCCTAGCTAAGGTATGTAAGCGGCGTGATGCCTCATCCCCTTATTCTCTCGATCGGTATACACGAGGAGCACTTCGGTTACGATATGTACTTGCGTGTCTATTGAATGTGATTTTCATAAGCGTTGTTATGCTTATTCTAGCGTCTTTTACGATCTTTTACGATATATTCGATCGCACGACCGAACGAGGAGGCCTGTACCAGAAGAACCCCAAGTATAAATAAAGAAATGTGGGTTGATTTTTCTTTTTATATTCTCGAACATTGTTTCCTTCTCGATCGATGATATAGAGAAGATTTTCGGCAACTCGCTCGCTCGCTCGATCGTTTCAGTCGACACACACTCCCCTCGTGGACGGTTAATTCGCAGAAGGTAGGAAGGAGCAGCAACCCCTTTTTTCTCTAACATTAGACGGGCTGTCGCTAAATCTCACGCAGATAGATGCATCGGACATGTTTTCAGACTAGAATCACATTCGCGCGAAATACATATCTTAGAGAGGATACAATTGCCGTCGAAACAAATAGACGCGATAAGACACGAAACGGGGGTTACGTGTATACGACTGACGCTGAGCTAATCTATATTTGCAGACACTGCCACAAGCAAAAGTTTATCGTAAATAATAAAAATGAACATACAAGTTAAACTCTCAAGATCGAAGCAAGTACGGTTTTAAAGCGAAGGACGAAATTCCGAGTACAGACGAAGCACAGACGAAATGCCGGAAGATGAAAAAGAAAAGAAAAAAAAGAGAAATACAGAACGGAAGAAGAAGAACGGACTTTTACGCGAATAATCGAAGCGAACGAGCAACAATCACAGCATCTTTCCAGGACTCAAGACTGCCATCGCATTACGTCTACGATAAGGAAACTATATTGTACTGTTAATGTTTTTACGTTTTTAATTTGTTAAGCGTCGCGCTAATGTATTTAATCCGCTAATTTAATTTTGCCTCTCCTACCCCCCGTTTGTGTGTAACGCAATAAAGAGTTACATATGCATACGACGAAGACAGATAAGAGAGGCGTCAACCATTGCCGCCTTTGTCGTTTTCATCGCCGTTATTGACGCCGTTTTTGCCATCGTCTCGTCATTTATTATCTTCTTCTTCATCATCATCAGCCGTTATCATTATATCATTGCTATCGTCGCAACTATCATAATCCTTCCTCGTCGCCGTTGTCGTCGTCGTCGCTATTTGCTTCTCATCTTTCTCGTTCGGAAAATCTCACCTCTATTCTTCTATTGCAACACTCTGGCGAATGCGATCTTCGTCGAAAGACTCTCACAGATTCCACTCGGCGCGGTACAAAGAGACGGCTTTTTACCACAAAGAGGAATAGATTTGATGCGAAAAGTCTTCGCGTCTATTTTTTTTTTCTCTTACAAAATTTCCGACGTACGAAAGAGTCCTACGGGAGGAGTCGCGTCCCGAAGATGCGGATATCCAGCGTTACAATGCAAAGCCAACCCCCTTCTCGTCTCTTCTTCTCGGCATAGTATTCGTATATTCGATATATATATATATATATCGTATAAAATAATTTGTAACATATGATACCCCGTTGATTATGATTGTTATCGAATTGAGCCTCTTTGTTACCATATAAACTACATAGGTTGATGTCAATGCAAATTTAATAAAAGAAAATAATTGCCGACGCAACAAGTCACGCCCAATAAGACGGTATATAAGTTAACTTGTACCGAGAAAAGCCAATTGAAAAAGAAAAAAAAATGAGCCTCATGTGAAACACAGCGAAACCCCCATCAGAGAGCCATCAGTGCCGGTGGAATCAAGGTACGACGCGATGTGATAGAACCTCTCGTACTCCTCCTTCCCCTCCTCCTCCTATTATTCAGCGTAACGAAGAATAAAAAAATTGCAAATTTTGAAATTTATCCACGTATATAAAGAGTATATTCGTTGCGTGTACATATGGAAAGTAGAACTCTGTAATGTTTTTCCCAAGCGGAGCTCGTTACCGGCGTTAGGACGTGCCTCTTCTCTCGTATCTTCGGTTTTCTTGCATTCTCGAAACATCCGTGCTTCATTCTTTATCGTATTCACTGATTTACGATAATTGAGTGATTCCATTTGATTTTTCGACCTTCGGCCGTTTTTGCATATGTCATTATTTGAACAACAGCTTTCTACGGTATAACTTCAACAAGTCGATTGGACCGAGTAAGTAAACATAATACTTTTCTATTCTGTCTCGCGCGCGTGAGATGATCATCATTCCCCCCTCGGAATTTTCACACAAGAGTATTCTATCGACGAATTTGATGAAATCATGAAGAATTAGTTGGGGAGAGAAAGAGCAATGTCGAGGCAACGATCGAAACAGGTTTCCTTTCTTCTTCGTACTTGCTCTGGCTTGTTGAAGCTATCAGATAAGTGTTGTTAAGATTTACGCGCACTAATGATTGTAGTTTTTATTCCGTAATTGACACGATCGATCGTTTGTATAACGTATGCTAACATGTACAAATAACATCGGCGTCAAACTTCGCCTCGTGCATGCATAGAGCGTGTACGCGGCATTTTTTTTTAACAACAATGTTGATTATAACGTGGCTCCGCTCTGCTCAGACGGGTTGGAACGAGATATTAAAGCGCGGAGAAAGATCTTCGGCGATGCATGCACGGGGTGAGGGATTTATCTGTTTCGATTTTGATGATATATTTTATTTTGTATCGTTTTTGTCTTCGATCCACTATCGATGTTGACGACCACGATTATTATTACTTTTGCTATTATTATTAATTAATTAATTAATTACTCATAGTTTTATCATTAAGACCAATTTTACCATCGCCGCTATATCGCTATATACAGAGCACAACAAGTTTACGCGTTCGTGGTGCAATATGTCGAATTTATATCCGTGCTTTCTCTCATTCAAATGACGAGACCCGAGTCACGAGATCGCACGTGCTTCAGGCACGTGTGTGTGTGTGTGAAACATATTCGCTCCCACACACGCTTTCTTCTCTCGTCTCCTCCCCTCCCATTTCTCACTTGTAGTATTCACACGTATCATGTAATGATCGATAATAATTGTACGATCGAAGACATATATTAATGCAATCTTATTATTGTAATAATGGTTGATATATAATATATAAATAATATTACAAAATATATGAGACAGTACTTTTGGATATATATTTCTCGATATACTCACTTTATGCATCATTCCATGCTTCTAACACGTACCGTTTCTCACAAACGAGATATAACGAATCGAGTGAAAAAGCAAAATTAATACGATTGCTCACGCGGCAACTTAACGAGAGGATTGAAGATAACTCGGATAGCATAAGACATTCTCGAATCAAGATATCAACGTCCTAAGACCTTGTTTCTGGGATATTAATAGATAGTCCACCCGTGATAATATTTATACAATAATACTTGTTATTTACGCGTGTATATAATTGCAGTTTCTTTATTTCAAATGTATTGCAATTGTTTCATCGTATAAATAAATTGGAAAGAATTTTGTGTAAAAATATGTTTGAAAAAATGATACATTATTTGGAGTGAATTTTCTGAAAATATTCTAAGAACATAATATCATGCGAAGTGATATATCAGAGCGCGTTGGAGAGAAGATTCAGTATTCATCGGCAGCGTCGCCCTCTCCATCGGTCGAGTCCATACCAACCTCCTCGTAGTCCTTCTCCAATGCGGCGAGGTCCTCCCGCGCCTCGGAGAACTCTCCCTCCTCCATACCTTCGCCGACGTACCAGTGGACGAAGGCCCTCTTCGCGTACATCAGATCGAACTTGTGGTCGAGCCGGGCCCAGGCCTCGGCGATCGCCGTAGTGTTCGACAGCATGCAGACGGCGCGCTGCACCTTGGCGAGGTCGCCGCCCGGCACGACCGTGGGCGGCTGATAATTGATGCCGACCTTGAAGCCGGTCGGACACCAGTCGACGAACTGGATGCTGCGCTTCGTCTTGATGGTCGCGATCGCCGCGTTCACGTCCTTCGGCACGACGTCGCCCCTGTAGAGCATGCAGCAGGCCATGTACTTGCCGTGGCGCGGATCGCACTTCACCATCTGATTGGCCGGCTCGAAGCAGGCGTTCGTGATCTCGGCGACGGACAGTTGCTCGTGGTAGGCCTTCTCCGCGGATATGACGGGCGCATAGGTGACCAGTGGGAAGTGGATTCTCGGATAGGGCACCAGGTTGGTCTGGAATTCGGTGAGGTCGACGTTCAGGGCGCCGTCGAAGCGCAGCGAGGCCGTGATCGAGGAGACGATCTGGCCGATCAGCCGGTTCAGATTCGTGTAGGTCGGCCGCTCGATGTCGAGATTGCGCCGGCAAATGTCGTAGATCGCCTCGTTGTCGACCATGAAAGCGCAGTCGGAGTGCTCGAGGGTGGTGTGCGTCGTCAGAATCGAATTGTACGGCTCCACCACGGCGGTGGAGACCTGAGGCGCCGGATAGATCGCGAACTCCAGCTTGGACTTCTTGCCGTAGTCGACCGACAGCCGTTCCATCAGCAGGGACGTGAAGCCGGAGCCGGTGCCGCCGCCGAACGAGTGGAAGATGAGGAAGCCCTGCAGCCCCGTGCACTGGTCCGCGAGTTTGCGAACGCGGTCGAGCACGAGGTCCACTATCTCCTTGCCGATCGTGTAGTGGCCGCGCGCGTAATTGTTCGCCGCGTCCTCCTTCCCGGTGATGAGCTGCTCCGGGTGGAAGAGCTGCCGATACGTGCCGGTGCGCACCTCGTCTGCGCGAAAGGAGAAGCGACTCATATCACCAGCCGGAATGGAATAATGACACCATTTCATTGATAGATACTTGCCTACTACGGTGGGCTCGAGGTCCACGAACACCGCTCTAGGTACGTGCTTGCCGGCACCGGTCTCGCTGAAGAAGGTGTTGAAGCTGTCGTCGCCGCCGCCGAGCATCTTGTCGGACGGCATCTGTCCGTCCGGCTGAATGCCATGTTCCAGACAGTAAAGCTCCCAGCAGGCGTTTCCGATCTGCACTCCCGCCTGTCCCACGTGGACGGATATGCATTCGCGCTGAAAGTACGTTACACCTTGATCCAACGTTTTTCCTCTCTGTTAGTATATGTTGAACGTATCGATGCCTTGAAACCGCGTTCTAATTTCAACGAAAAAGAAGCATCGCTTTTACGGTGCGGTTTAGCAATAATTAGTAGTGAACTCTCGCATCCAATCGGCGTGTTATTTTAGATCTAAAAATATATTCCGATTAACGTGGTAAGACCGCCGGCGGGCAGGGTGTGTTTACGCAATATTGACGATTTTTCAGCTCGCAGAATTTCAACTCAAAATCTGTAATCAACGATCTAAAAAAACTTGTAAATGATACGTTTCGTAACACTCGGACAGATCGGGCCCGCCATTTTGAATGCGGATATTTTTCACCTTAAATTCGTATTCAGCGAGGAACCCTTAAATACGTTTGGATTTTTCAGTCGCCGTGGATTGGATCCGCTATTTCGAATGTTCACATTCGAAAACCCCGCCGGTGTGTTTAGAATCCGATCACTTTTTTGTCTCGTCACCAAAAATAATGCAATGAGAGAAAAATATTTTCGGGGACAACAATATCTTTTTTTTCACTTTAACCAGAAAAATAGTCGAGAGAACCTATTAAGTGTTATGCAAAATAACAAAGGATATCGTTGTCCCCGAAAATATTTTTCTCGCAGTAAGGGGTTGAAAGAGGTCACTGATTGCGATTATTACTAAACTGGATCAACGTATAAAAGCTGTGATGAAAAATCATCATACTTTAGAGGTACGTGTCACGCAAACGCAAATATACGCCGGCCGGCCTTGGAAATCGTCGCGTGATACGGCCGCAGTAGCGAAAAACGAATAGAACCGAGCTTCGTCACGTCGTTGCGCGATTTTTCGTTCTAAAAGTAGCAATAACGTAATGCAACGTGGGGGAGATGGGTACGTGTCGTGAGACAGCATTGCGTTAGGTGAAATCCGCGCTGACTTTGAGGATGAAATTTTCGGATCCAGCAATCTCTCTGGACTCATTGGTTATATATTGGCATTCATCCGGATTTTACATTCATTCAACGATAAATCGCCAAATGAATGAATCGCGCCGACACGTTATATCATTATTTCACGTCTGGTCGAGAAAGAAAAGGATGTTAAACTCGTGTCTACACGAGCAAGGCTCGGATGTCTACATTTCTTACCATTTTGAAGGAGAAGAGTCGCACGGCAGGAAGGTTGAAACGCCGTTCGAACGAAGCTGGCAATGGAGCTCCTTCGAACGATCTCGACTCACTGAGCCGCGCGAAGCGCGAGCTACGCTCTCTTATAGCCTCGGTTTGTACCCGATTTACTACTCGCTCGTTCCGAGAGCACGCCGCCATCAATGACGCGCTTCATATCCGGCCACGTAGGATTACGCGGGATTGCGTAACCGATGTTTTCTCTCTTTTTCTCGCGATTTTAATGAACTATCGGTCGCCTTGCTTACTTACGCAACGTTCCTCGGCTTTTCCGGGCGAAAGCAAATAGAGGATTCGCGCGCGATTTAAGCTCCGTAGAGCCCGGGACTATTTTAGAGGGTGCCGACGAACTCTGCAGCTGTTAAACGACGTATATATACTTCCGTTCCGGAATAGTCGCGTCCTTACGGCGCGCCCATTGTCGCTTTACGAAACGCGAACACTCACGCGGTCAATGTTTCATTCCAGATAACGTGGAGAATTCTCGATCGAAATGCACGATCTTTCAATGAAGCTGCGACTGGTGCATCTCGAGTCCAACATTTCCTCCAATTATTTTGCATATCCAGCAAATTAATAAGAAACCTTTTTGCTGTCCAAACCAATTTACTGTTCACAATACTTGTCTGTCGATAGCGACTCGTCGAGCTCTGTAAAAAGAAACGTGCAATCTCGAGACACCGCCCGAATGAAGCTGCATCGTGAGAACGCAGTTTCTTTCGCGGAGTTTCTCTCACCGAGCTGACACACGCTATTGCCGTTATGGGAGACTCAACTTAGTGCGGCTCAGATGCGCGTTACCCATTTATCGTCAGCCCGATATCGTGTAACTACATGGAAGTAGGTGCGGCTTACCGTCCTTATAAGGCCGCGGGTTCTTTCAATGGAGAGTAGTAGGCCGGCCGCCTATCTCGCGCATATTTCGCGCCCACAGCCTCCACCTACTAATACAAGTAGCCTTAGATGACTTCAGATGAACCTTAGATTAAGTATCTAGGTGAAAGATCAGTAGCGCTACATAATTTTTTTCACAATATTGTTTTCATTAGACTTTATAAAAATTTAGAATAAAAATTACGCAGCTCATAAAATGCTAAGAAGAACAGGAGACAAAGCCGTTGAAATCCAGTCTGGATTGCGGGCTTGAAGTGAGTTCAGAATATGAGATCATTTTTACATGAAATAACATGTATTTTTTACTCAAGATGAAGATATTTCTTTCATCTATTTCACAACCTTGCGTCGCATTACCTTGTGTCGCCAACGGACGACATGCACATTTATTATCATAGTGGAGTACCCCGGAAGATAATTGCAGAGTACCGATATGACCGAGCGTAAATAATGTAGGTTACGATAAAAGGGATAACAAAGTGTGTGATCAGGTTATTCGGCTAACCTAACGTGAGAGTAGTTTTGACAGGGAAAAGTGCCGAAAGGTGGGAAAGCATCGAGCTAAGGGAATTTACGAGATATCGTGACACCTGTGGATATCATCGCTCGTATTTGGCAAAATTCCACCTCGGTGACGGAGAATTATCAGATAAACAACGAGAGATGTCCGATTTATTTTTCTATACTTTATTTTATGTCTTGATCACCGGATGTATCCTCTATCCGCCGATAGAATTTGTCGCGGCCGGACTGACCATCAAGGATATCTTCAGTGATTTTCTCGGCGACGAGAATGAATTTTTTATACATTATCACATCAGGAGAAGCGTATTTACGTTGTTTATACACTCCATGTTTCCTCTGGGTAATGAGCATGCTTATGTTAGGTCGTCTTGCTCGCAGATGTTTGTACTCGATGTTTTTTGTGTCCAGATTACATCATAGGGCTGAGTTTCTCCGATAACTTCGATTTTGGAAAGTTGCTTGACTCAGACAAGATGACTCTCGGGCTGGTGGCTGTTATTTTTGCATTGGTTGGAGCTTGGTACACAGTGATTCAAATATGCGAATGGTATATACATGATTGGGCTGTGCATCCGATAGTGCAGAATCTTTCCGTGTACAGCAACAATAACATGTCATGGCAGGATGTTGCTGCAGACATTAATAGAGAATATCGAAGGTTCGTTTAAATAATCGGAGACATGTTGCAAGTGTATAATATATATGTACTGAAGTGACGTCATCTTATTTCAGAGTGGATAAAACTGATATTGTTACAAATGGCATAACTCGTATCGTAGTGACAGACAACTGGATTATTAAGATCACATCTTACAAGTTACAAGTGGTGCACCAAAGCGACGCCACCTTAATAGTAAAAAAATGCGACACACATTTAATGTCAGCCATAACTGGAGATCAGGTTCAATACATCAATATTCAGGTATAAAATTATATATGGACAGTTTGTCTGCCTTAGATGAAATGAGGATTTTACTTTTAATTTGTCTAAATGAAAGATACGCTACTTATCGTTTTTTAGAGGATTTTTTTTTTTTCATATGAGGGACTATAGAAATTTATAATAAAAATTACGCAGATCATGAAATTGCACAGTTAACCCTTTGACATACAATCACGTCTGGGAGACGTCATTCATTTCATGTACCATTGTAGACTTTGACGTCAAGAACTGTCTCCGGTGACGCCGTGCAGTATATTATTAGATTATTCAATTGTTTCACAAGCTTGCACATAACTGTTCATTGAGCAAAATTAAATAGTATTTTTCGGACGCATCAAATTCCGTTTTATTTGTATGTCAAGAGGTTAACTAACGTGATCGCTCCAAATTTAAGGATCTAATAAAAAGAAATAATCGTTGACTAATCGCTGTGTTTTCTGAAACGCAGTTTCTTGATCTGTTTTTTATAGCTGCACTAGTTCAGTCATGTATCTAAGAAGAACAGACCAAAGGAGATAAAATCGAAATTTGTCGATTTGTTGAAATCTAATCTCCAATTCCTGGTCTGATACAGGCTTAACGCATAATATTCCATATTATTTCACTCATTTTATCGAAAAGTGAGTTCCGAATATGAACCATAACATCATTTCAGATAATTTTTAGATGAAATAATATGTTTTTATTTTATTTAAGATGAAAAGCATTTATCTCGTCTAGATAAAAATAAAGATGATCTATTTATTCGTCTGGATGATTATTTAGATCATTTTATTTGGATACCGGCAAATATAGATTGTTTTGAAATTAGTCACGTTATGAGACTCAATATTGTTTTTTTTTTTCCAGGTAAAATCCATGCGAGCGACGGCAGAAGGATTCGACATAAGATTAAATGCGTTGGACTTTAAAGATCTGCAAGACAAAGTTTCGCGGCCGATCATTATACCGCAAAATATAACGTTTCACAAGACTTTGCTCGACAGATTTATCAGTACTTTCAAGGAGGAAGCTAATAAAAATCCAATCTACGACACTGCCCAGGTATCAAATATTACAGCAGCTGTTATTTCTTCAATTAATTCTTCTGTTAACACATTGCGGACGGATGATCTCGTATTGCGTCGTTACAGGCAAAAACATACCCGGCCACGGTTAGCAATAAAATGTCTGGTCCGCAATGTGTTAAAATAATTCTGTTAATTTCTGTTCTGATAATTTCTTTTATGATGATGTTAATTCTATTATGATAAAATCTATTAAGATTCGTATCTCCAGGAGTTGGATCAATGCGTAGGATGTATGCAAGTGACCGCAAATATGAAATTGAACAAATTATGTGATAACGTTACCGAGAATAGAGATTCTGACGGTTGTACAGTGTGCTATTGCCGTCCGATGTGGTGTATAGAATGTATGGCAAAGTGGTCAGTACCTTTTATTATTATTTTCAAATATTGTTATATCTATGCTAAATCGAATAATTTTGTGTGTTCAGGCGATACACTTTTAGTATTATTATCATTACTCGACAGGTTTGCTTCGAGACAAGACAAAAATGCTCCAGAAACGTGGCTGTCTGCTAAATGTACCTGCCCTGTCTGCAAAGCGAAATTTTGTATCTTAGATGTTTGTAATATAAGGATTTTAGATCAGTAATACCGCCTCTGACTGCGTCCTTTTATGACTAAAATTGAAGGCCGTTCGTATTATGCTGCATTTTCGAGATTTGGAATATAAAATTGATATTTGATTGTCAATTTAGAGTATATATATATATATAACATATAAATATATGCAAAACATGTTTACTAAGGAAATATTGAATTTTATCTCGATGCAAATTGATTTTTTTACATTTTATATTTTTTCTATATTCCATTTATCAGAAGAGTTTATAAGCAGTTCGAAACAAGTGAAAGCAAATGTTTGTTTTTATTAAAAGAATTTGCGGCTTTCAACGTTAGAATTGCGACAGAATTATTGGCTGTGAAAGTGTTAACATCGGAATAACACTTGCATTATATACCTTAAAGTTGATGAAACGTCAAGAATACGTAATTTCTTCCGATACAATTGTTAAGAAAATAATAAATGTCCAATTTGAAGCTGATCTACGGTTCGATATTAACATTCCATACACATAGGCGCGCGCTTATCTGTCTGTATAAACTGTATCATTATTATGAAATGCAAATATAAAATATGTATAATTTAATTATCGTATCTTTAATTCGGCGCCTTTTTCCGTGTAGTTCATTCGCAAAAGGGCGAGTGCACATTTAATTCTCGAAATAATCCCCATTATTCTCGATGACTCGACACCATCTTTCGGGCAACTGCCCTCGCGAAATAAACTCGGCGATGTCGACTCAATAAAGTCGTCGATGCTTTTTCGGACGATCGTTTCGAAGTGCTCATCGGCCAGGTGATGCGACCGAAATAAATGGTAGTTCGACGGGGCGAGATCTGGCGAATAAGCTGCGTGAAGGAGGACTTCCCAGCCTAATGTGCGGATGACGTCTTTGGTTCCTTTTGCGGTAGGGCGTTGTGCTGCAAAATCACTCGTCTACTTCCGATGTAAGGCCTCTTTTCCTTCTACGCATCGCTCAAACGGACAATATGTAATATTCCGCAGTAACGGTCCAGCAACTCGTAATGCACCACACCCTCCATATCCCACCAGGTACTCAGCAAAACCTTCTTCGGAGTTTCCGCGTTTCTGCGTATAACAGCCATTTTTCATCACCCGTAATGATGTCGCACAGGAAATCTCGTCTTTTGAATCGGGTCGGCAGAGATTTCGCCGTGACGCTCCTTGCATTCCAGGTCTTACCGAGTCGATGAGATATGCATTGCTGAGTAACTCCGACGCAAGCTCCTTGGAGTTTTCACTCAACAGTTGCCGGAGCTCTTTGTTGTCGAATTTCTGCGGCTGACCCGAACGATCCGAAATTCCGAAACCTCTGGTATCATTTTTTACACGTTTTATACGTCACGGCGTTCTCATCCAGAGCGGCGCAGATCATCGCTTGGACAGCATTTTTCTTCAATTGAAATGCGAAGAGAATGCAGTGCCTCAAATGCTGCTTATCGGCCGCCATCAGGCCATTATGTCGCTCGCCAAAACATATAAGGTAGGGAAACATGTTCAGCCGAATGTTTGCAACTGTTTCCCGTGCTACAGGAAACAAACGTTCCGCTGAACATAGATAAATCATCTCATCTTCATCTAGCTATGACATACAATGTCGTTCACGGAGCTCGCAAACACTACCTCGGGAAAAGTAGCGTTTGTGGCTACCGTTCAACGCACCCATAGTGTTTTGAGAACTTGGTGGTACACACACTTCCAAACTATTTAGTTTTAAACACCCAATGGAACAATAAATAGTACTTTTACAAGATTTCATCCTTTTATGCTTTTATACATCACTCTCCTTTATATATATTTTGGTTTGTACTTTTAATTAGTACTTTCTTCTCGTATTCGCTCATCGTAAAACCGCAGTTTATGAAGGAAGATATTGAAAGAAAACTTTCAATGAATTAATACTTTTCTATTACATTCTACTAATACCGCGAGACAGTTTTTATTAACAAAAAATGTCGGCAATACATCGCGAAAAGTTTAAAAACGGATGCTATATTTAAGTTACTTGATACAAAGATTATAATAAAGTGAAAAGTTTCACTCACATATTATCACGTTTAATACGATTTCACTTAATCTTTACTACTTATTTTACACATCACATAAAATACATACCGGTTTACGTAGTCATGAGTCTAGGCGCAATATTCATTGCCATCAGTTCCTGGAAGAGTAACTTCGCCGCGTATGGTAATCTAATTTGCGAAATCTGCGTCTTGTTCTTGCACCCCTTGCACTCGAAAGTGTTGTTTCGCAAGTTCGCGATGGCGATCAAGCCGCAGAAGTTACAGATGTGAATCCGGTAAGGATCTGACACTTCGAACAAACGCTCTCTCAGAAACTGCGCCGCACCGTGAGAGATCTGACAGTCCCGCTCCATCTCGCCGAAACGGAGTCCACCGTCCCTAAATGAATAGATGCGTTTGCATTGGATCGACGAGAATAAACAACGCGCGCCAATTTACCTCGCTCGACCTTCCATAGGCTGGCGAACTAAAATCTGCACGGGTCCTCTCGCTCTACTGTGAATCTTATCGTCCACCATGTGCTTCAAACGTTGGTAATAGGTCGGCCCTAGAAACACCTGTGCATTGATCTTACGACCCGTGTGCCCGTTGTACATGACCTCGTTCCCTCGCAACTGATAACCGTACTCCTGCAGGAGCGTGGAGATCTTCTGCACGTTCACGGCGTCGTTGAACGGCGTGGCATCACCGATCTCACCTGATCAGATTGTCCGATTAGAAATCAAAGGATAAAAGGTTCGTAAAGTGACGAAGATATTTGCAGAAAAACTTTCCTTTTAACAATAAATAGATTAACTTTCATCAGAATGGACGGAACTCCTCAGATGAAATTAATCATATCTTTTATTTCTTAATTTAGTAATGGAACGGCTGTTACATTACGTTAGCAATAAAAGATCTATCCAACCTTCTGGCTATTTATTGACCGTTAAAGTTACGTCCGTTTACTTGGAATTTTGGCCATACCCTTGTTCGCGGAAACCTTCCCCTGTATGCACTCGATCAAGTGACCGATGGTCATACGCGAGGGGATAGCGTGGGGGTTGATGATTATGTCGGGCGTGAGACCCTCGCAGGAGAACGGCATGTCCTCCTGCCTGTACTGAATCCCACAAGTTCCCTTCTGCCCGTGGCGCGACGCAAACTTGTCGCCTATCTGCGGGATGCGCACGCTGCGCACGCGAATCTTGCAGAACTTGTATCCCTCGCTGTTCAACGTCAACATCACCTGGTCGACTATGCCGGTCTCGCTATTCCGCAAAAACGTCGACGCGTCGCGTTTTGTGAAACGCTTCGTCGTGCTGTCCAGCTGAAAGAGAGAGATGATTATTATTGGCTCCAACGGCACCTTTACACGATGAAACAAATCAAGTTGCGAGAAAGGCGCCGAAATTAACAGTTTATGATAGTTGTCACATTATACAGTTCGGACTATGTCCGCCGACGATTTCAGCACACAAATGTTCCTATTATTTTGACGCACTTTAATTTGATTTTTACCTCGTTTTGCCCATAATTTTTGCAAACAATATTCATATTTTTCACACGCAAAAATTGATTTTTCTATCGGTAAGCAAGGAATTTGAAATAAACAAGAATTCAATGAAATTTCGCACGCAATGATGAAAGTAGCGCATTGTAACATGCAGCATAAAAATACCTTTTTCTAGAATCCTTAATATAATCGGTCGATAGACGAGCCGTGTTATAAAGCTGGGAAGTCGATGAAATGTAAAAAATTAAGATGCGTCTGTTAATATGGACTGTATATCTCTCTCGCCACACTTTTGTCCTACAGAAACCAAGGGAATTTCCTTTCCACGTTTATACGCGCGATGATATGTTAAAAAACTCGCCTCATCGTCCGTTTCCGGCAGGGTAATTGTTTTGCCTATGATCACATCATCGCCCGATACTCGAATTCCAGGTGCGATTATCCCGTCGTCGTCCAATTTGTCGTATATGGCGTTGCGCATCCCCTGGCAGGTTACGCGCGACGGTTTCTCGAACTGCTCCTCTTGATCGCCGATCTTCTTCGACTCGGACTCCTTGTAAGAGCGGTAAAACACCGACCTGAAGAAGCCCCTCTCAACGGCGCTGGCATTCAAGATGACGCTGTCCTCCTGGTTGTATCCCGTGTAGCACAGAATCGCGACGATGCTGTTGATACCGGCCGGCAGCTCGCGGAACCTAAGGTACTCCATCGATCTCGTGGTGACCAGCGGTTTGTGAGGGTAATACAAGACGTGGGCCAAGGTGTCCATGCGAACGTGGAAATTCGTAATGTAAACGCCCATAGCTTGTTTACCCATGGCACTCTGAAAAATAAGCGATGTTTCATCAGGAGGAGATGCATCTTATACGACTTTGCTTTTGACTAGATGAAGTACTTATCTATGGATAATTTTTTAGACATTCATAAAATTGCACAACGGTTAAGTAATCCAAATTGAAGGATCTAACAAAAAGAAATAATCGTTGAATATAATCATTATTTCACATCAGACTACTACTGATGAGAGATTGGTCCCAACAGTTTGATACGAGCTTAAAGTGAATTGAAACAAACGATGTCTGTCTTGTTAGTGCAGCTAAAAAGGAGACGAAACGTTGATTCGTTGAAATCTAATCTGATATTATTTCGTTGGCTTGATCGAATATGGATTTCCAGATGAGATGGTCTATTTATTATTAATCTTTGATACCGCGGCAAACGCGTAAGAGAGAAATGATAACCTACCTGGTAAGTGTTCCTAGGGCTCTGATTATGATCAGGGAAAGGTATGATGGAAGCACAGACGCCCAAGATCATCGCCGGATGAATCTCGCAGTGCGTATACGTCGTGCAATACGCGTACTCCTTCTCTTGTCGAAGATCGTCAGGCGACATAGCTATCATGACGGTTTCCTCCTCCAGAGTGTCTATATATTCTACTACTCCGCTACCTACCAACTCCTGCCACCTGCAACGTAATACTTATCGTCAGCAATGTTTCGTCGCTTTGAAGAAAACGTCGTGTCATCTCGCAAAGATCACGCCAATGAATGAAAGCTTCAATAACTCGCTTACAAGAGGACTCATCCGAATACGGCTTCTAACCGAACCTGCCGGAGGAAGAAGCTCACCCATCGTTGTTGTAATCCCTCTCCTTCAGCATATCGATGTGCCGCTTCTTCAGCAGTAAATTCTGGCCCTCGACTATGAGCAGAGGCCTGCTGATCCTACCGGCGTCCGTGTATATACGGATCTCGCGGTCCCTGATATCGCGGATCATCGACACCTCCGACACGATGATGTCCATCTGCCGTCTCAGTTTGCGCAAGGTGGCCATCAGCTGGTCCGGGTCCCGGTGGATGCCGACCCAGCATCCGTTCACGAATATCTTCGTCGCGTCGGCGATCGCGCTCGGCGCGATCTCCTCGAGATTCTCCATCGACCACTCCTCCAAGAATTCGAGGATGGGCGAGGGCTGCGAGCCGACGCTTATGTACGCCATCAGGGCTAAATTCTTCACCAAGCCTACGGCGGCGCCCTCGGGAGTCTCCGCGGGGCAGAGCATACCCCACAGCGTGTTGTGCAACTGACGCGGCTTCGCCAGTTTGCCGTCCCTCCCGATCGGCGAGTTCACCCGCCTGAGATGCGACAGGGTCGAGGCGAAGGTCAGCCTGTTCAGTACCTGCGACACGCCCGCCCTCGCCTGATGCGCTTTCTTCTGGTCGCCCCAGTTACCGGTGGCGAGCGAGTACCGCAGCCCGTCGGTGATTATTTTCGTCTTGATCGCCAGCTCGAGGTTGAAGTCCTTGCCCCGGTCGATGAACTTCTGCGCGTACAGGCGCACCTCCTTCATCAGGTTCTTGAACAGGGCGCGGAAGAGGAAGGCCAGCAACGGCCCGGCCAGGTCCAATCGTTTGTTGCCGTAATGATCCCGGTCGTCCAGCTCCCTTCGTCCCAGGGACGCGGACAGCAATCGGTGCACCATGTAGCCGAGGAAGTAGGCCTTCTTCGTCTCGCAGAAGTCGCTTATGCCGACGTGCGGCAGCATTTCCTTCTGCAGGATCTCCCGGGCGTACTTGATACGCTTCTCCTTGGTGACGCCCGCCCGGGCGCCCCTCGTGCCGATGAAATTCAGCGCGACGTTCTGCTCCTGTATGACGAAGGCCTCGTCCAGGGACGGCTTCACCATCTCCATCATCTCGGGATCGTCGAAGTCGTAGATTATGTGCTCGAGGATGTCGCGGTCGGCGACGAAGCCGAGGGCACGGAAAACCACCATTATCGGGATCTCTTGCTTCACGTACGGTATGATGGCGACGATGCGTTGACCTATCGCCGATTTCTTTATGCTGGCCCCGCTCTTCGCCATCATGTTGATCCACAAGGTAGACGTGGGACGCGAACTGTGCTCCAAGCAGGATCTGATCTCCGCCTTGTACGCGTATTTGCCATCTTTCATGCTGAATACGTAAACGGTGTTCGTCGCCATTTTCTCCTGCGCTATCAGCACCTTCTCCGAGCCGTTTATGATGAAATACCCGCCGGGATCTAACGGGCATTCGTTCAATTCCGTCAAGTCGCGATCGGATAAGCCCGCCAGCAGGCAGTACTTCGATCTCAACATAATCGGTATCTTTCCGATGAAAGTCTTCTGATGTTGCGTCTCTATGGGTTCCTCGCCGTCCTTCATGATCGTCTTGGTGATATCCACGTACAACGGCGCCGAATACGTTAGATTTCTCAGCCTGGCTTCGTTGGGCATCATAGGAGACGGCGCGCCGTCCTTCTCCCAATGGGTGGGCTTGGACAAATAGATCTGCTCGAACTTCAGCAAATGTCTCACCGGATTTTCTATCTCGCCCGTGGTGTGTTGCGCCTCCGCTTGTAGATCGATCTGCGGTGAGTCCTCGACGATACGTTGAACGGACATCTCGATGAATTCGTCGAAGCTATCCAATTGTTGCCGTACGAGACCCTTCTCGTCGAAGTACGCGTTGATCACGATCCAGCAGGCCTCCTGCCAAAGTTTCGACGAAATCTCCTCCGCATCCTCGTCATCGTATTGATCTAGCATAAGATGGTTATTTTCACGATCTTTCAATTACGGACAACAGATCATTCCTTCAATCCTATTAACACGCGTTAATATACTCACCATCTTCGAGAGTGTACATGTTGAGAGTGTAACCTTTAGATTCCAATGTTTCACGCAAAATGACTCAAAAGCGATCGCTTTACGGAGCTGCAGCTGACAGTGTAGCCAACTCGAAATTTTTAAATCTCCGTCATATGTCTCTCTCGGGCGGTCATCAGGGGATGACCAAATTTCTTCTACAACTCGACTGTGATCGGTCAATTTCTTCAAATTCTTTTCTAGACCCCACACTATGGATTGAGATCAGATTGAAATTTGACCAATCGGAGCAAGCCCCCTGCAGACTACGGATTGGTCAATCGGTAACCGAGTTCAAGTTTAGTGAAATTTAGCGAACTTTGCGCTGATTGGTCGAATTTCAATCCGTGCTCTGAACTAATTAAACTTGCTCTGATCGGTCGAATCAATCCGGGCCGGCATTCAGATCTTATATTTAAAATCGTCTCAATTTTATGTCGAGGTGCTTCGTGCCCAATGAAATATAAGCCGTGCAGTATCCGAAGATAAACTTAAGACTGTCTCATAAAGCCACGATGCTTGTTTTCACGCTGGATTTGATGGAAATACTGCCTTTCGATCCATTTTTGGGAAATACACCAATCAGAACGTTCTATTCTTTCCAGCAAGTAGCAGTCTGTGTGGCTTAAAACCCGACTATGAATACACAAACTGTAGATTTGCAGTACTGGCGGGGAACGCACTTGAGCGTTCGTTGTATCTGAAAAATAGTATTGCGAGAACCCTCTATTGGCTACCGCGCGAACTTCCGCCGCGCGGCAACCGTTGTTGCGTCCTATGTATCACGACGCTCTCTACTTTCCACAGTAGGGAAAGACTGTTTATGTGGGCGATAACGATAGAAACAAAACGACATTTACAAAAGAAGAGAGAAACCGATGTATGCTTATCTATCTAAGAAAAAAATATTCCTCAAGGATAGAAATCCACTAAAGAATATGATAAGAGACGGAAAGATAATTCTCGGTTTTTACTTCACATAGCTGCATTTCTTTCCACCTTTAGTGAACAGTGATTTCTTTTCTTCAACATAATGACTACTGACATAGTAGCGATGTTAAAAGAACCGCAAATGACGAAAATATGTGCCCCAATGGTTAGATACAGCAAGTAAGTTGAACACCTTTCACACACCGATGTTCCATATAAAATATTTGTCTTTCTTATTAGGTTACAATTCAGAACGCTTGTGAGGCGTTATGCGTGCGACATATGTTTTACACCTATGATCATGGCGAATTCGTTTGTACAATCTTCAAAAGCTCGAGAGAATGAATTTACCACATATAAAGAGGACAAACCGTTGGTCGTTCAGTTTGCAGCCAATACTGTTAATGACTTTGTCAGTGCCACAGAAATGATCGCACCGTAAGTTATGAGCCTCTTCATTTTTATTATTTGATTATTTTTGGGAAAAAATATTTTTTCATTCATCACTTATCTCGTGATCAATAGGTATGGCGATGGCGTAGACTTGAATTGCGGCTGTCCGCAGCGTTGGGCTATGAAAGATGGATATGGCGCCGATTTATTGAGGAAACCAGAGCTAGTGAGCGATTTGATATGTCAAGTCAGAAATCGCATTCCAAAACCATTCGCTGTGTCTGCAAAGATACGATTGTTGAAAGACATACGCGAAACAATAATGTTGTGTCAAGCTTTGGAAAAAGCTGGCGCTTCGTTTTTAACAATCCATGCAAGGACCCCTGAGATGCGTAATGAACCGATCGAATTAGACAGTCTCAAGCTTCTTAGAGATTGCGTGCGTCTGCCACTTGTTGCGAATGGCGATGTAAAGGACTTGGAAAGTGCGAGAACTTTGTTCAGAGAATCCGGATGCGAGGGAGTAATGTCCGCTCGAGGTATCCTGAATAATCCGGCATTATTTTCCGGACATTCCACCACTCCGCTCGTTTGTCTTCAAGATTGGCTGGATATCACATCAACTGTACCAACTGAATTCCAATGTTTCCATCATCATCTGGTATTCATGTTGGAAAAAGTTCTACCGAAGAAAGATCGTGTATTGTTCAATAATTTGCAGAACAGGTCGTCCGTATTGGACTTTTTAGAAAACTATTACGATATAAGGCCAGGTACTTCATTTAATTCGATAGAGCTGACTAAGTGTACCTTTAATACATTGCACGTGCAGCAAAGAGAAAAGTATATTCACTTCTGGGAAGATGATACGTCCAGTGACCTTCTAGGAAATATATTTAGCGATATAGCGTCGTAAAAAGTACAGCGTTTTTCATCTACGCAAATGTTAAAGTTATTAATTAGCTATATTTTCTACATCAGGTATATTTTAATTTTATAACTTTATAGACGAAAAATGTATTTTGTAACAAGAGATATTTTTAAAAACCTTATCTTCGATAATGAATTAAAGATATGACAATGTTTGTACATACGCGAATATCCCATTGTTTATTGATCGGTTCTGTCTGTAGAAATACAAAACTCGATGTTTAGAAGTGAATATGAATATTAAATAAATAATAAGTAAAAATATTTTTTTACAAATGTATTGCAATTCTATTCACATATCTTTTCCACCATCTTCTACTTTTTCTTTTCCATGCGTGTCTAACCTCAATACTGGCAGACAAGTGGGAGAGAAACGTCAGAAGAGAAATTACGGAAGTTCAGCTGAGCTGAAGGATAGAAGAGTAGGGAAAACAGGTTGAAAATGAGTTACAACACGCGTAAGTTTTATTTATTTAATTTTTTTTTTTTTTAACACGAACTCTCGTGTTACATTTCTCGTTGACGCACATTTGCTCGACAACAACCAAAATGTTCCGATCATCAAATTGTGAAGATTCTTAAGTGCTGACAGTCTCCCATCATAAGGATTGGATTCGTACATATGGAGAATGTCTGACGCAATTTGCAGATCTCACGGAGGAATGCCCGTTAACCAAGGAGAAGAATTACAAGTACAAACTATGCAACTACTGCGGCAATGGATTACAGTTAATTATTGCCTGCTTCGTTGTGTTAACCATTGGCATTACCACTATGCTGGTGTTGCAGATTCTTTATACCGAAGATATACCGCAGGTGAGTGTTGAAGAAAAAGAGAGACAGGGAACAAAAAGGTATTTTTACAATAGTCTTATCACATTTCAGAGTAGACTTCATGGTATCCATGGAGCAGTTGCTACCGATTATTCAAATTGCTCTCAAATCGGCACTAAGATACTGAGAAAATTGGGCAACGCAGTGGACGCTGCAGTGGCCGCGACTATTTGCATGACCGTAGTAGCACCTCACAAAACCGGCCTTGGCGGGTGAGATATCGTCAACTAAATTTACCATCATTGTTACTGATCACTGATCTTGACTTTCTCTTCAGAGGTGGTTATATGATGATACACAAAAATCACACCCATCCAATTATTATCGATTTTGCAAGTAATACAACTGAAGGTCTGTACAATATTTCGTTACATGCGAGAGATATATATTATTAGATGCGTTTATTAATAGAGCACAGGAGAAAGAAAGCTTAAGTTTATTCGATTAGGATAATTTACGGTGTCAATCAGCACTTTTACCCGTGCAACCTTCTGAGGTGTCAAATCACTTGTTCTGCCCATAATTTTTCTAAACAATATTAACATTTTTCACACAAAAATTTATTTCTCTATTAGTAAGCGAGGAATTTGAAGTAAACAAAGTAAAATAAAATTTCAATTGACACGCACAACTCACGTCCGTTCCCGTCAAGAATGCAGCTAGCGCACATTTGTTCATTGTAACAGTCTAGTGAAGTGACGTCATAAAAAAGTACCTTTTATGGAATAACGGTACCTTAACGTAATTCGATCGATAGATGGGTATTGCAAAAGTCGATGAAATGTTAAGAATTAAGGACTGATTTTCTAATGCGAATCAGGCTTCTTCGCGAGAGCTGAGATTCGTCTGCCAGCCCTACTACGGGGATTAGAATTCGCTCAAAGATCACACGGCATCTTGCCATGGCGCGACATCGTAGAACCTTCCGCCAAGTTAGCGCGGGAAGGATTCGTCGTATCCAAAGATTTTGCGGACGAAGTCTCGAAAAATACGGATTACGGAACGCTTTATGGCCCTTTGAATCCGGGTGACACGTTGCAATTACAGGAACTCGCGAACACGTTAGACATTATAGCGGAGCATGGCGCAGGAGGTATGTATTTTGTTTTGCGTTAACAACTTATAATGTTACAATAATTTTTCATCCAGTCGTACACAGTGATTTTTACACGATCCTACAGCAATCGCCGGGACTTCTTCGCACTTCTTTCATTGCAGCATTGTACAATGGCACTTTGTCGTACAAGATTCTGCGCAACGATATCCTAAGCGGGAATTTACTGCAGCAGTTGGCAAGTTACGGGCCTACCGTTGTAGCTGCGGAAAGCTCGACGTTGCATCATCATGTGATTTACTATCCGTCTCACGCAAGCTCTATACGATCGGTGGTCGAGGCATTGGAGGACCTGCCGATTTTTGCGGGAAATGCGTCCACGATTGAGTCGCAAGCTCTCGTTGCTCAGACATTGACGCAATTGCATTTGTTGTTCTCGCAAAATACCCAACACGGTGAGTGTTACACGCATCGTTCTTTCCTTACCCGGGAAAAAATGATTATATAAGATCACATATGTTTATACGAAAAGAAAAAAAAACGATGCTTCGTCATTTAATTAAATGTACGTCGATATCGTGTGCTGTCACAAGTAGCCATTTATTTCGATCGCATATAATTTGTAAACAACAGTATTTTTTCGTATGGATATACATTGGCAAATTTCATATATCTTTTTTTTCCCCGAGTAATCATCTCAATTGACAGTTATTTAACTGTACTTGTAATTGCTTCAGTCAAGAGAGAAACATACACCGGAGTGATGGCGATGGACTGGCAAGATGCGTACGTCTGCGTCCTATCGTTAGTAACACAATTACACTCGCTTTCATCCATTAGATAACTGTTATCGCATTAACGTGGTTGGTGCAGCGGTTTAGGTTCACCTTTGGGGCTCGGAAATATGACAGCCGCTGGGTTTCTGTTAGATAAGAATGTCGATGACAACACTCTGTTGTCTACATTCGTTCCTGTACTTTTCCACCATGAGAAAGCGAGATGCGGCTTACGTGGAGTATTCGGCTCGGATGACGCTTTTCTCAACGGGCAGATCCTGTATAATCTTATCGTGCGCAGCTTGAGCGTTTCTGCCGCGATAGAATATCCCAGGTATAACAACGATCAAGAATTCATTTCAAGTAGGACGAGAAAAATAAATCAGATATAATCACGTTTTGTCTTATTCTGTTTCGATAGATATTATTACGTTTCCGACGGTATGGTAATTGAGAATAATCAGAGACACTCGATGGAGGCCGCTTTGCGGGTTCGATTGCAGCCCCTGATATCGTCGTTGCCTACTGACAATAATTTACTCATCAAGAGTGTAAATGCGATTATCAAAAGGAAGGACTCACTCTCGAGTCACTCCGACAGTCGTGGAAATGGAATTGCGTCGCGATTTTAAATGTGTGTGATGACCCAGATACTGCACCTGAGATCGAGAATCTTGATCGGAGACTGTGATATTAGAAGGTAACTCCAGCTGTTTGTAGAAATATTTTCTGCAAACTCGCGTTACGCGATACGTACGATCATTCAACTCAATCATGTGGGAAATTAACTGGGCGATAAATCTATCGTAAACTTTATATTTTAAGTAACATCATCCAACAGGTTTTAAACTATAATACTGTTTTATCATTGTTGCAAAATGGAAACTAACTTCTCCATCGATTCGCGTCTATGACGTGAATAATATTTTTCTTCAATTTCATCGAATCTCTATGAAACTTTCTCTTATGAGAATAATAACGTATACACGAAGAAAGAATTTTGCGATAAAGAGATTTTACAAGGAATAACGTTTTTATAAAATCTAAATAAAATTGTCGTACTTTTTATTATCGTTATTTTATTACACCTTGAACTGTTGAGTTTGTTGTTTATACTCTTTACTGAGACTTAACTGCCTGACTCTCGCGTAATATGCGCTGGCAGTGAGGACGATGATATTGCTCATCCACCAGAGGAATGTCTTCGTTTCATCGAACCAATAGGTCGCCAGGACCGTTTGGGCGCACGCTTTCGCGGTACCGCTAATGTTGTGCGTCAAAGGAGACGTAACTTTCACTTGGAGCGCGGTGAAGTATCCAATGGCGAATCCGAATAAACCGCCGATTGTTAAAGCCAACCAAAAGAAAGGGTGCCAGAGCTTTTCGTAATTAAATACAGCGGTGTGTTCACCGTTGATTAACATCAGCGGAATCAAAATAACGATGCTGTACGTATTATTGTAGTAGGAAAGCAGGAAGACGTCTTGATTTACGTCCGGAAGCGTCCGTTTCATACGGATGCTGTACAAGGCCAGCAGTAACGATCCGGCCACACCGAAAAGCGTCCCGACAACGGACAGGGAACCTGCCACTTTCTCTTGATCTACGCCTAACCAGAATCCACCGATAATTACCGCACAGCACATTACGCATTTGAAGGAAGTCTTTTCTCCTGTAAACGTTGCGTCAATTAATATCTCCAGATAGTTCCTCATTTGTTTCTTTATTAAATGAGGCCAGATCGGTGTGCTTTTATCTCTTACCGAGTAAGATATAAGTGAACACAACATTGAATATAGTTGTCAACGAACGACCTATGTAATAAAAAGCGATATCGACGTATTTTAAACATAAGTTATTAGTCGTTATCATTCCAGCAAACAAGATCGATAGGGGCAATACCTAAAAAAGATACATATATGAAAACATTGTACAATATTGTTGAAATAAAGAGAACATATTTTTCCCTTAATTAAGAATTTCTTTGCAAATACATGAAATTCTTTCTTAATTTGCAGCGTTAAACATCTGGTTGAAATCAATTGTGTGTATGAAGAACTTTTAATGCCAAGTCTTGGATAAACTTATTTTTTTTTAGCAATTGAAAAAAATATCAATAGTTACATGGTTTTTCTCAAAAAAAAAAAAAAAAGAAAAAAGATCGTATACCTTTTTCAAAGTATCTATGCTAAATGGGCTGTCATTCGCAACCTTAATATACTTCGGGAAACATTGTGACAATTTGCGTAAAGTGAGACAAATGATTACGCTCACTATACATTGAAACCAAGTTACAAAAAGTGGGGCATCCAGATTTACAACGTCACTGGATAACAGTGCCTTATTTACAAATACAGTCAAAATGGATACTATCCTGAAAAATATTGTAAAATTCATATATATATATATATATATAGTTTGTTATACAGTTTAAACTATAATGTTCCGATGTATTTTATACAGGGAATTATATCTATTATTATTTCATATATGTTTTTCTCTTAGTACAATAGATAAATTTAATCGCTGATAAAGCAAATAGCTATTTAATATTTGATGACTTACCAATAAGCTGTAATTACACATGTGATATATATGTATTTCGACCCAAGCCCTTCTTGTAGTTGCATTTTGATAAAATTTTATTTATATTAAGGATCGATCGAGTCTCATTCAAGTGAAGAACGAACAGCAGTCTGATTACGATGATTACAATGGTGAATCAATACTTGGCATTAATTGAAATTTTGTCACATTAGTGTAAAATCATTGTTAGCATTTCTATCAAATACGAACGTGCATATAAACATGTGTCAAATTGCCGCACGGGCAATGTTTATATTCGTCCTTGAAACCCGACGTTCATGTCGAAGCATCGTATACGTAGACACATCGATGGCGTAATCTTGTGCAGCAAATCAATCTTATCAGTATTATTTTTTCCATTCTACTTCTTCTAGATAATGCTTTCGAATGCCGTTGTCCAATGTCTCAGGTGTTAAATGACTGAGGTTAGTTCATCACATAGTATTCTTTCATCGTCTGCACGTTAGTAGTTAGTATTATATTTTTAGCATGTACATTCAATATTGAAATCTGTCAATATTAAAACCAAATTTGGCTTGGTTATTATTATTATTATGAAGAGATATTAGATTTGTCCTTTTCAGCTGAACTTTTTGCACTGGTGCAAGAAATGTCATTCGAAAGTGTAGTTTCGCTATCCTCCGCTGTGAGTCGCCACCTGTCTTCAACAAGAAACGAATACACCGTAGTATGACTCGACAAGTCGTATATAATTTTAGTAAAATTTTAATTTCAAATTTTACTGCTCAAATGTTCTGAAAGCTAGAAAGAACGAATCTGAAGTTAACCTACTGCAGTGTTCATCATGACGTTGCAATGACACGTGACGTAGAAGCGATACTCCAGTAGTTTTTAATAGTAGGTTTCTAACAAAAATTGTGATCAGTATTACTTGTTGTGACTTCCAATGGCCGCAGAAGTAACAAATTGCATTTTCTGCAAAATTATCCGAAACGAAGAACCGGGTGAGAAAATTTACGAGGTACGAAAAATTAAATTCAAGCGAATTATTGACAGCCAATTAGAGAGACTGCTCGCAGAGAAATGTGGCTAAACGAAATTTTACATTAATTACGGGTAACTAGTAATTTTTGTTGCATATATATGTGACAAATATTTCACATACATATGTAACAAATATTTTGCATATCTTTACATATATATGTAACAAATATCTTACATCTATTTACATATATATTCACATATATTTGCTGTAGGACGAGGATGTTACATGCATTAAAGATATTAGACCAGCGTCGACACATCATTATTTGATAATACCAAACAGACATATACGTAATGCGAAAGCACTTAAACCAGAAGATTCCGAACTTTGTAAGTGTGTAATATATTCCCTCAATATATCTGTGCTGATCTTCAACGAGTTACCGCACAAATTAATGGAAATAAAGTATTTGACAGACATTAACAGCTTTTATTCATTTGTATGAAAATGACAAACATTATACAGCTGAGGCATTCTCTCATTGTGTTTAAATTTTAGTTAATAAGATTGTTGCCACAGTAGACGTAATCTCAGAAAAGCTGAGCCTTGATCCTGCATCTATTCGAACGGGATTCCATTGGCCACCGTTTAACACTGTCGATCATTTACATCTCCATGTTATTTCCCCAATAGACCAAATGAATATTATGAGAAAGATGATGTTTAGTCCAAGTACCTACTGGTTTGTAAGCGTGAGTAGCAAAAGTGGCTTTACTTTTTTAATCCTCAAATAACAAGGTTTATATCAGTCGAATCCAACTTGTAAAAGCACTTTGTACATTTTCGACTAGGTACTTTTTATTCACACAATAAGTTAGGAAATATTTAAAAGTAAATATCGGAAAATATATGAAAAATGTATCGTAAAATGCCTGAAATATAACATGCGTGTTCGCATTAGAATATAGATCCGATCGACCAATCTTATTGTCTGAAAGTTAACTGTAAACATCATAGTCTTACTTGGCATCTTTTTTCTTTGTGCAGACGGACTACGTCAAATCTCGCCTGGAGGAGTATAAATAATGTCAGTTATTGTTATAGCGTTACTTGTCATTAGTTTTCTTTTTGATAACGAAGATTGCGATTTTACACAAGAAATTCATAACTCAGTGAAGCATTTGGCGTAATTTGGTAAGAATAGAAATATTTACAGGATTTAACAAAGAATTAGATATATGCTTTTCACGCTAAGATTATTTCTACTTCCATTATTTTGTTTATTTTATACATATATGGTACAAATTACATATACGTGTGTTAGTCCATAACAGAAAATGTCTTTTTATCTTATTCTGACGGCTTTTTGAAAGATCCCCCTTCCTGGGTTACGTCCACTTTTTACCCTCTGGATAAGTATAGTTCAGAATGCAATCGTCTTTAAGCTTAGTCGAATATCCGGGAAGTGTAGGCAGCTTGTAGGAGGCATCCTTAACGAGTACGGGATCCTCGAAGTGTTCATGCTGTTGATCTACGAACTCGATCGCGCAATCCTCGACGGACGAGCGCAGGCAAACGTAAGCCCACATTTGGAGATGCTGAACCATCTCGCAGAGGCCTACCCCACCTGCGTGTGGCCAAACCGGTGCTGCAAACAAATCAAATTGTTCTCCTCTCATAGTAAGTAAACATTTTCAATTGATCAGGTCGGAATTGTTATTGACGTTGTAAATTTACTTTTAGTCTTTTCTGCCATGAGGTACACAGATAAGATCTCGTTGATCCCTCCGATCCTCGCCGAATCGATCTGACAGATGTCGATCGCTCGCATTTGCAGCAGTTGCTTGAACAGGACGCGGTTCGCGCACATTTCCCCGGTAGCTACCGCGATACCGTGCGGTCTCAAGGCGGCGGCTATCTCGGCGTGTCCCACGATATCGTCGGGCGAGGTCGGCTCTTCTATCCAGAAGGGCTTGAATTCCGCCAGCCGCTTCGTCCACCCGATCGCCTCGTTCACATCCCAGATTTGGTTCGCGTCCAGCATCAGTCTGTTGTCGTAGCCTATCGCCTCGCGCACCAAACGGCACCTCCTGACGTCGTCCTCCAGATTCTGACCTACCTTCACCTTGAAGCGCGTGAAACCCAAGCTCAAATACTTCGCGCAGAGATCCTTGACTTTCTGATCGCTGTAGCCCAACCATCCCACCTGGGTCGTGTAGGCGGGATATCCGTTTCTTCTCAGGAGCTCTTCACGCTCCTGTTTGTACGGCTCGTACTTTCGCAGCATGTCTATCGCTTGCTCCTTGGTCAATACGTCGGTACTTTGCGTTAAAGAGTGGAAATATGTGTTGAAAATGATATCTCAGGCCTTTACTCGATTCCGAGTTAGCGCCGCGTTCTTTCAGTTTACTTCCTCTAAGGAACGACCCGAAAAAGTGAACTGAAATGCTCATGAGTGCTCGGAATATAAACTAATTATAATAACTAAATTGAAATAATATTCAAGATCTTTGGAATATGTTGCTACGGCTCACATATATCGAAAGTCCACGGTGGAAACGAGTTGCTCGGGCGTTAAATCCGTGAGAAGCTTCCAGACCGGCTTACCCTCGATGCGGGCCCACAAGTCCCACAGTGCGTTTATGATGGCCGCTGTAGCGAGATGAATCACACCTTTCTCGGGCCCGATCTGAGATATTCAAGTCACGCTGTTCATCGTGTTTTAATTATTTACGCGTCGCAGTTTGGATTTACCCATCTCAGTTGCGACTCGCTCGTCAACTTTCTCCAGAATGACGCAAAGTCGGTGTAAATCTGAGTGGTTGTTTGATTCTTCACCAGACCGAACATGGATTTACATGCTTGCACCACTAATTACGAAAGTTATTATTATTAACATATCTCTTTCGCTCTCTTTCTCTCTCTTCTTTTCATTATTTCTATGTTAATGATAAGTTTTTTATATAATATTTAATTATACGTACCAACTTCTGTGCCTCTTCCCAAAGTAAATGTAAGACCGTACCCTTCGTGTCCCCGATCGGTTTTTATTGTTACATAGGCGCAAGAATAGTCAGGGTCAGTATGCTATTGTTACAAATAAGAATTAACAACACCAGAAGTATATAATTAAAAGTCAGATATGTGAAGTTCTCACACACACACAGAGTTGTAATAATTACAAAATTTAAATTATTTTACATCCAAAAATATATTCACTTGACAATGCACTTGATTATAGACGTCATATATTTCATTGGATATATTACATAACAATGTGTATACCATTGCATCGCTACCATCGGCCAATAATGACGTTGGAAATCTGATGTCTTTCACATCGATATCGATAATTCTTGCGTCTATCATCTTCGTAACTGTTCCACTAACGATCCGGCGAAAACGACTGAACGCTGACTGCAGCAATTCGTATCTCCGAAGTGCCATCTTGGATTATTCCGCTTGTCTTATCGTCTTATATCAATATTTGCGCGCATGTTATCAATCCGGTTTTGACATATCGGCTCAGAGATAATTTTCTATATTGTTATTTACACGGCGGGGAGATCCCGGGTTTAACCCCCTTTTATCTATACACGAGCGGATGTACGAAATATACCGGACACCTTGTATATCAGTGCATAAAAAATTGCAACGTCTTTTTATTAACCTCAACAAAAGAGAACTTAAGGAGTAACTTCTTTATTATTTATTTAAGTTAACCTTTGCACCCTGTCGTTTAGCTTTTCATATTTGGTTATTATATATAATACATGACAGTTACGTTAAAAGCGACAACAATTTATCAATTAATTACGTTAATAAAAGATACCATTTCCACCATGTTAATATATTATCACATTGTTATGCCGTCAATTCCTCTTTTCAATCCTGACTTTCAAAGGATCGCACGATGCTAACGTAATAATCGTCTTCAATTTTATTTCAGCAATTTCAATCCTCCTATCCACTTTCAATGTGTATGTACGCAACAGAGTAGCTATGATGACTTTCATAGAAGCCATTGCATACTTTATACCTGCAATTTAAACGATTAATATTTCGCTATAACACATTTCATTTATTTATATTATTAATGCGCACCTATACAGTTCCTTGGACCGTTACTAAACGGTATATAACAATATGGATGAATGTTGGTCATGTTCTCCGGGAGAAATCTATCTGGATCAAATGTCAACGCATTCGGCCAATATTTTTCATTTCGATGCAAAGCTAAACTTGTTATTAAAGCGTTGGCGCCTTTCGGCAAAGTATGTCCTCCTGGAACATATTTTTCTCTAAATCAATATCATTATAAGTACATCATCAAGTAGGATATTTAAGTAAATCCGTGTGTTATTATACGGAGTAACAAAAATATTTTCTCCCATGAATGGAACATTATTATTCACTTTATATATTTCTTATATACCCAAGCAAAAATCTTTAAATATAATCATACATGGTCCTATATGAAATGATTATGTATGATCATATATGAAATTCATTTCTATATGACCGCGTCTAGTCATATATAAATATGATTATTTATAATTAATTACTATAGTGCTTTATTGATGCTATACAAAATTTTGACCATATTCTCTACGTTGAGATTAAAAAAAAAAAAACATATAGAAATTAATTGATTGATATAATAAATATCCAATCCATATCCTTGGCTATAAGATAAAGTTATGTGTTTAGCACCACGTCATAAAAATGCTTCGTCTTATATGCAAACAGCCCAAAGTTAGAAAATAGATTCGATAAATCCAATTAAATATATGTATAACTTATATGTTTAAAATACATTTCATAAAATTTTTGAACAGAAGAAGCTAATCTCTAAAGTATATATTTTTTCTTTTTTCCACACGTGCAATTAAATTATAGCGGTACAGTTTTAATTTGTCCATCATACATAACTAAATGAATAGTCACACTTGATTACGTATCACATCATATCTAGTTATGTAAAATTATGGTATGCCGAAGCATGAATTTATGTCTATATGATTCAATATTAATTACACGCATTAAATAATTATGCATGATTAAACTTGAAAATTATATTATAATTATGTTCAGATGTGAAATCATACAGGACCATATTTGGTTTCAAATCTGATATACATATTGCAAATGACCATAAATATAAAGCCATTTATGATAACATATATAAAATTATATGACATCACATATGGTATGATATGATTATAAAGTTTAACCGTATATAATAATTAATTACACAAATAATTATATATATTTATATACTACCATATAGGAAAATTTTTGCTTGGGTATTGTTTCATTACACGATTATGTTTATAAAACAAACCTATTGTTAAGTCTTCAGTAAGGCGTCGTCCGATGAGAGGCGCAACGGGAAAGAGTCTCAATGTTTCTTTAATAACACGCTCCAGGTAATTCATGTGTTGCAAATCTTCAAACTTGACAGGCGCGGATTTTGGATCTTGTGTGCCGTAAATTTTTAATAACTCCTCGTATACTTTTTCCTTTTGCAAAATTACATTTATTTATTTACAGACAAAATATTTTTTATAAGCATATAAATTATCATCCCAAATAACTACTGAACCACACTATAATACGTAAAAAAGGAAATCTGGACTAAAAAGTTACATGTCAAATATACGATATATGTACTTTTGTTAATTTTCTTTCCAATTATTTATCATTATAAGATATCAAACTATGCTTAAAATAATTTAATACATTCAATATACGTACTTGTATTTCTGGGTGGTTTGCTAACATAAATATTGTAAAATTCATTGTAACTGCGGTGGTGTCGGTGCCCTGCGTAAACGAAAATTTGGTTTTTACGAGTTCAATAATTTCATTAACACAGAAAGAATTTTATATGTACATACTGCTGCACACATCGTATTGATTTCATCGTGAATGTTTTTTCGAGTGAATTTCTTGCCTTTATTAGATGCTTCCATTAGTACGTCGAGAAATACTCTTCTTGCTATTTTATTTGAACAAAGAAATATACAAAATACATTTTTAGAGAGAGAAAGAGAGAGGGAGAGAGAGAGAGAGAGAGAGAGAGAGAGAAAGGTACGTTTTGTTAATTTGTTACGAGAATGAATATATTGAATATGTATTGATTCATCCATATATTTAAGGGATTTGTCACGGATTTGTCACGGATGTTTAATGGGTGTAGTCGTACCCTCCTAAGTAACGCGTTGAAAATAATAAGAGAAGAAAGTAACCCTTTGTACGCGCAATTATCTTAAAATATAAAATATACACTTTTTCATTCATTCTTTATATGTTATTAAACATAGCATTATAACATCAAACGTAAAAATACATTATGTAAACCGCAGGAATAAATCACGTAATACAATGAGACATTAACTTACGAGGTTTTGCACATTCGGTTTTAGTGGTATCCGGATTATTTCTCGCTTCTTCTTTTTGACGTATTACCTGCATAGTAAATAGATAATATAACGAATTCAAGGCGAATAATATTGCTAGGAAATATATTTGTGATATTTACCTGTTCCGTAGTAGAATGTATGAAATTTAAATGTTTCTGCTGCTCGCGATTTAAAGATGTAAGATGAAATATAATATCGGGGAATAAAAATATATTCCGCGTTCTCTGAAAGATTATTTCTTTCAATCTACAAATAGACATTTCGACAATTTCGTTAAATTATGTCAATCTCCCTGAGTATAGCGCATGTCAATTACAAGAATTTGAAGTCAGAAGAGAATCCTTACCTTTCTAATGCTTTGACGTACTGATCATTTTGATTTGATTGTGATTCCAACTTGATACCCAACGAAGTGCCTTCAAGGTTTTCACATGAAAAATTCAAATTTGTCATTTTTTATACAATAATATATACATATAGAATATAGAATATAGGATTTACATGATAAAATATATTATTTATTATCTTGGATGACAATTTATATATTTGTAATGAAGAACTTTCATGAGACACAGAAACAATTTCCACACAAATCAAAATCGAATAATCATTTTACCTTACCAGAAATAATATCCAATGTGCACATTGCTATATAATGAAATAAATCAACTTCCTCGCCTACCATATGTTCCAACTTGTCCATAAGTATCGAAGCTTGTTCCACAAATGTATCGAGAAACACTCGTAAAATGTTTGTATTAAAACTTGACGCTATCATTTTACGATGTTCGACCCATATAGGTGCTATGAGGGAAATCAATATTACAATAGAATATGAAGTAAAGAGGATGCATACATCCCTTACGGAAAAGTATTACTGATAATCACTGGGGAAAATATTAGGGAAAATAAATAAATGATTAATCACTGATCGGTACTGCACTTATTTCTCGGCGAATTACTGCAGGAATTAATCACCGCGATTACAGACAATTATTTGTAGCAAAAATTATGTCGATGCAAACGAATCGATGAAACACACTGATGTTAGATCATTTTATTGAAAAAAAATTCCCACTTTAATTTCTGCATTTTCTCGTCTCATAACGTATCCCTTTGAGCGCGAGCGTGGCATACCCTTACAGAAAAATATTTTACTGTCTATGATAACCCGGGAAAAAAAGATTATATATGAAACTCGCCCATATATGACTATGTATAATCATATATGTCCATAACGAAAAAATACTGTTGTTTACAAATTATATGTAAATGCAATAGATATAAATGCTTCTGGCTATTTATACTTCTGACACAGTACATGATATCGACATTTAATTAAATGACAAAGCATCATTTTTTTCGTATAGACATATATGATCATATGTAACTACATATATGCGCAAAATTCATATAACGTTTTATATAACTATACACAGGATGTCCCAAACCAACCTCGGTTCCCGTGGTATTCAAGTAAAACGGATGAAACTGAGCAGAAAAGTCCTATACCATTTTGCATGATAACACGCAAAATTTCGAGTTATCAATGATTGAAAATGGTCATGTATAGAGGCTTTTCTAATTAATAACTCAACAATTTGCGTATCATTTGCAAAATGAGAGACTTTTTTTTGTTCCGAATAGTCTAATGTACAAGTATATGACAACTATTGTACCTAACGACAAGTTCAAAGTTCAATATATTGATGTCAATCGTTAGGTACAACAATTGTCATATATTTGTAGATTAGGCCACTCTGAACAAAAAAGTGCTCATATAATTTGTCCATTGAATTCTGGGACACCGTGTATGTGCATGAGTTACAACTTAAAGTAATCAATAAAAAAGTGATCTTGAGCTTTCTAACAAATCGATTTGAACATATTTATATAGAAATTAGAAGTCATCACTAACGGATACTGTGAAAAGGGTAAATATTATTGATTCAAATATAAAATTAGTACGGAACGCTGTTATTTGGTATGATTTTAATCTAGTTATTCTACATATTATTACGAATATACGTAGTAAGCTACAGAATGAAGTGTATTCAATCAATATCGCATAAAAACACGATGAATATGTATTTTTCGTGATAGGAATATAATGTCGCGTAAATAGACATGTCACAGAGAAAGTAATTTTTGCAAGATCTTACCAGGTGCTGTAAACACTCCCATTCCTAGCCAAGCCTTGAAATGATTATACATCATACTTTTATTCAGGCAACTCGGACTTTGGAGAATCGTCTGCAATGTATAAAACAAATACACTAATCAGTCCGTTATGTTACTGCTTTCATCGAATTCAATGTTTTCATAATTAAAATGTATCTATTAAAAATGATGATAATTTGTTGAATGAAAAGATAGATGAGAGCATAGTAACTACGGTTTTTAATCAGTTTGTAATTCATCCATATGTAAAAAATTATAAGAAATGTAAGTGCTAAAATCTTACCTTTACATGGTCTGGCTCGGTTACAAAAATAAGTAAGTTGTTGCCAAACCATAATCGAAACGGAGATGGGTAAATATCCGTAAGCAAACATATACTTTGCAAGTATTCTGAAAATTTCACGCGCTTAAGAGGTATGTTACTAGGAAACAAATGTTTTTATATTTAATTGTATTAATTCTAAACTTATCAACAAATAAATGTCAAATAATTTTATTCAGAAATAATAATAACATTATTTTACCGTTTCCTTTTTATGGAAACTTTTATTTCTTTTTTACGATATTATTGTACTTTGGTAACAAGATTTATATGTTTGTTGTTACGATTGTTACGATTAAGTGACTTGAGTCGCAAATTGAATCTCTTCATAAATTTGCTTGTTTCTGCTTATCTTTATAAAATATTGATCATAGTTTTGGAACATTGATAAATATATAAACGAAAAGCCTTGGAAACTGGAAAAATGGAAACTGAAATACGCTGATCTATGGATGTGTATGTGTTTTAATGTATAAGAGCTATTCAAATTATATGTATTCTGAAAAAAAAATGCTATTGTATCAATAGAATTTCCAACAGCATGCGTAATTGGAGTAAATCTTCTTGATTTAATAGTCATATCATTGAAACTAATACTTTTTAATTATTATTAATACTTAGTAATTATTATTAATTATTGAAACAATATATAACATAGTAGTTTTAATAATATTTGAATCAAGATTTACTCCCATTACATTATTGTTGGAAATATTATTGATTCAACATTTTTTTCAGTGCAATAAGTAATGGCTCAGGAACATAATTGTTCGCGCGCGAGATTCATTAATAATTTTCTTTACGTTATTATGAGATAGATGTAAATCTTGAGTATGGAACAATATAAAAACAGAGTAAATGTTATAATAATATTACCGTCAAAATTTCTTTGGAGGAAGTAGTAGGCATTCCCAATAATCGGTTTCGTTTTTGGACCTGGTAGAAGGTTCGCCGCTCGAATGAGAGGTAGTTGCTTACGATAATTCGAGATTAGGTAGTTCATTCCAATGCATATTAAGATTATCAATACCGCACTCAAGAACATGACGGATCTGTCAATTGGTAAATTGATAAACAGCGACAGTGTTTGTATGATATTATAATTCACCTCTGCGCTTGAGCAAGTGTTAACACTAATATCCAAATTATTGTTATCTTTTATTATGCCTCTTTTACACACTGAGAAAAAAAAATGCATGATTAGTCTCATTAAAATTATAATTATTTTCATCGCTAACTATATATTTTTGTTATTCGAACGAAAAAGTAAAAGTATCCATTTATATCTCTCGCTCGGAATTAAATGTCCTTTTCGGCTCGATTTCGGTAGCACATAAAATTGACGTACAATTACAATGGAAGGCGTATCGTAATTAATTGTAAAGTCCAAGAATGGATGATTTTCTACCATTGTGTGATGATTTTGCGTGTAGCCTCGGGAAATCTACGATTGACGCAAACGAGGTAGAACTTCTAGCTTAATTTCCGAGCGAGTGATGGTACAGGCGCCGATTAACGAACTCTTTATTAATCTTGCTGGTTTATTTAAAAAGGATCAATTGCGTCTTGTATGTGATCGGATAGTCTAGCTTCGTTGAAAGTCAAAAACCAGCTCATGTTATCGAGAGCCGTTGCCGATTATAAAGGCAGCGATAGTCAATAATAACGAACTTCGAGGATGTTCTGGAAGGGGTCAACAATGCGGGTGGTAGTAGATAACAAACGTAAACAGTCTAACGTCTCTCGCCAAGGCAAAGAATTTAAATTAGAAAATGATACGAAACAACCGTATTATTGTGTAAGGATCGTGAAAAAATTATGGCTAAGTATTTCGCCACCATAAAGATCTAATGAGATAATTACGAAAGGAAAACATAGAGAATTAAGCGTGAATTTATGACAGGCTTTTGTTAAATCGCGAATCATGGTGAAAGATAACGGTAGCAAACGATAAGAGAATTCGATGCTGCAAACTTACGAAAAGAAAAGAAGAAGAGGAGAAATCATGCATTTTCGTACGGTACTTCCTTGTCATTGTAGAATTCATATTACACGATATAACACGATAAAAAGCTGTATCTAACTCGCAATAACAGTTATCATTTTAAATCTTAGGCAATGTAAAATACATGTGTAGCTAAAGCATAGCAGAGCTGTAATATGTAAGATAAATGACTCAAAATCTAAAGTAATACATAACGCATGAGTTATCTTAGCTTGACATTAGTTAATTATGCCATCATTTACACATTACCTTGAGGTAGACAGCCCAAACTTATCTTGGCGAAGTAATTAGCCATAATGTGTTACGATCTTTATATAATAATACACAGAGAAAAAGGTTTCACTAGATTTAGCATTTCTATTTATCTGACTAAAATTTGTTTCATAGAAACAACATGTACTTATACGAAATATTATTTGAGTAAAAATTTTATCGTCTCATTCAAGAAAACTCTATTGTTTAACAGAAAGAACGCTGTTATTTGAAATAATGTCTTTTAACCAAATAAAATATTATTCGGTTACAATAAATGCACGATGCGACACAGACAGGCCGAGGCTTACTACATCTATTGTAGGCTCGGCCTTAAGCTCGTATCGTATTATGGATTGAAATTGGATTGAAATTTAATCAATCAGAGCTAGATTAATTGAGTTCAGTTAAATTTGCTCAGATTGGTCAAATTTAAATTCAATCCTAATCCATAATGTGATACGGACCTTAGGAAGGATGCGGTCCATTTAATGTTACAAATGCTGCGGAGCGCCGTGTAGACTGTACAAAGTTAACTGAACTCAAATTTAATGAAATTTAGTGAACTTTGCACTGATTGGTCAAATTTCAATTCCATCTCTCAATCTTCAATCCGTAGGTCGGTATTCATAGTCGGATATTATATTTAAGATCGTCTTAAGTTAATCTTCAGATGCTCTATGGCTCATTTCATTGGCCACAAAGAAGATAAACTTAAGACGTAATCTTAAATGTAAGATCCGACTATGAATACCGGCCGTAAGGGAGGTAACGCTCGCAACGACGCGAGCGTCATTCTATCTTTGTTCAACGCGCTTTCCCACTCCATACGTTATCGTACGAAGCAACTATCTCTTTCTAATATTTGACGACTCTTGGGCTGAATGCGCAGTCTAGTTATCATACGTCTATGTCCGTTGCGCGCGTTTTTCGTGCGTGCGAGGAGGTAGTTGTTTTATTAGAATTTTATGAATGAAACTGCGACGAAATGCCGTATATCGACTCAGGGATATCCGATCCCTTCGAGATCATCGTCGGAACGTACGAGCAATACTTGCTCGGCTACAAAGTGCACAACATCGTGAATGTAAGCGAATCACACAGCCTGGTAGAGGTTACCCTTCGCGTTGTCGCGTTATGATACACGAATGAACAATGTTCAGCGAGGCTGAGAAAATCTACAACTGGACGAAAAATGATCTCTTTTTCTCTTCCCAGGAATACAAAGTGGAGAAGAGTTTCGCCACGCACAGCCATGTGGCGAGCATACGCAGCGTCGCCAGCTGTAAGCATTATCTGGCTTCCGCTGGAGCAGATGACGTAGTGTGCCTGTACGATCTGCGTAACAGGAGAGAGTCCGGCAAATTGATGCTTCACAATGGTATGTAGACGAATTCACGATTTTGTTTTCCAACAGACGTTATCACACCTATTTTGCAGACACCATCAATTGCATAGCGTTTACCCCGGGAGCGTCGCATCTCTTCACGTGCAGCAAGGACGGTAGTATAGCGGGCGTTCGTTGCGGCAATTGGCAAACGGAGAAACATTGGCGGCAGGCGCACAAAGGTTCGGCTGTTAACACTCTGGCCGTTCATCCCACGGGGAAGCTGGCTCTGTCCGCTGGAACGGACGGTGTTCTGAGGACGTGGAACCTGGTCAAGGGCAGGCAGGCCTACGCCATCAATTTGACGCCGAGGTTGAAGCACGATGCTAAGAACGTAACGATCGTCCGGTGGAGTCCGAGCGGCGACAAATATCTGCTGGCCGTCGATCGGAAGATAGACGCGTACGTCGTAGAGACCGCCGGGATATTCGGCGAGCTCGAGTTCGCGTCGAGGATTATCTGCGTGGAATTTCTGAGCGACAGTCTGATCGCGGTCGGCTTCGAGGACGGACAGATCAAATTCTGCGATCTCCGAACTTCGAGGCCGACACTGGAGACGGCGGCGCATGACGTCAGGGTGAAGTGTATCGCGAACGTGAACGACCTGCTGATCAGTGCTTCCAGTTCCGGTGAGATCAAACTTTGGAAATACAGCCGGCATAGTTTGGACATGTTGCGGAGCATTGATTGCGGCGCCAGGATCACTTGTCTCGCGTTAGCGCTGTCCTACGAGAATCCGAAGCAAGAGGGGGGCTCAGAGAGGGAGAGGAAGGTAAAGAGGAAGAGTACACTAAGACTGAAGCAGGAGGTTATAATCGAGGACGAGGGTGAGGAGGAAATCGGAGATCGGAAAGTAAAGCGTAAGAAGAAAAGAGCTGTGGAAGATAACGACGTCCAAGACTTCGAGAGGAAGGTAGTCGCGAAGAAGAAGGAAAAGAGATCGTCCGACAAGATAGAAGACACGGTCGATAAGCCGAAGAGAAAGAAGAAGCTGTTGAAAGCGAGTGAACCGACAATTTCTAACAAGAAAAAGCGGAAAAAGGATAACGACGACGTCGTTTCACAGAGCGGCTCGAAGAGGATCAAGAAGACCGATACGATGATGAAAGAATGGGCCGTCGCTCGCGCGAAACGCAAGGAAAGATTGCCGATGGAGGACACCGAGGACGCTTCACCCGGGAAGAAGAAGAGGAAAGTGAATTCCGCGGGGGAAGTTGCGCCGAAGAAGAAAAGGAAAGGACAAGACGGAGTAAATTAGTAGGTCCAATTGAGAGAGCGATCTCTTTATAAAAAAAATCATCATCTCCTTTTCTATGTGATATTTACATAACGATAAGGCTACCGTCTAAAGTGCGTAATAAATTACTCGCTAGTTCCTACGAATCAGTCTATTTACAATCTCGTCGGAGTTGTCGACAGCCGCGATTATTAACGACGTGGTCGGCTTGTCCTTATCACGTTCTCAATCGATTTCTCGATGTATTCCTGCAGAAAGAAACAAGGTGGAAATGCATCGTGATGCGTAGCACCGTCGATCGAACAGCACCGCTTCTCTCGACACCGCGTCTTCTGTAGGAATATAATTAGAGAGAAATCGGTGGTGCGGACGATCTCGTCGATTCCTCGTCGCCGGCTTGTCTACCACAGGATGCACTTGTGCGGTGGATTCATGGGACTACCGAGCGGGCACCTCCACGCCTTCGCAAACTCCACGTTGTTCGACAGCGTGCCGATTACCCTGAAGTGATTCGGCGCGTGAACCCCCTCGATCACCTTCGACTTCAGTGCCCCGTTCGTATAGTTTCCGCACCAGACCTTGAAGAGAATCAGTGTTCGTATAATAACGATAATGCCACGTTGTATATCACGAGACTCGCCCCGCTCAGTGTATATTTTACGTGTAAATACGTCCGACAAGAGTTGGTCGCGTGTCCACAATTATTCATCATATCAGTTTTGAGGTATTCCAGTCTCTAAAAGCGTCAATTCTCAAAAAATTACAAAAAAATTTCACAAGGAAATATGTAATAATTTTCATAAGACTATCATATCTTGCGGAAGAGAAGAGTTTCAGGATAGCACCCCCATGCATATAAATTTTAATCTTACACTTTCAACAAGTCTAGAACACAACATCGATTTTAAAGCCTTTCCTCTAACATTTAATTTCGATTTGCGCTTAATTACAACACCCCAATGCCAATCGTTTTTCCGCTCAACGATAATACATCATCGATCTTTGACGTTTCTCATTATCATCATCATCGGCGTTTGACTGAACGAAAGGGGGGAAAAAAAAGGAAAAACACTATACGAGAGTGCAGTGTTTTTCTTTTTCTTTCCTTTCGTTCAGCCAAACGTCAGATCGATGTATTATTGTTGAGCGGAAAAACGATTGGCATCGCGGTGTTGTAATTAAGCGCTAATCGAAATTAAATGTTAGAGGAAAAGCTTCAAAACTGACGTGCCACGTTGTTTTCGCGAAAAACACTGCAGGCTGTGAAAATTACCTGAGCAAAGCCCAAGAAGAACAGCTGCTCGTTGCTATAGTCGACGAGACCAGGCAGAACTTGCTGATACGGGCTGCGTGCGATCAGCCTCTGATAGGCCCTATAGGCCTCCCTAATACCACCGTTGTCGGCGATGTTTTCACCCTGGGTGTTGATGCCGTTCACCTGAAAACCGGCCAATTGAACACACCTTGGCACGCTTTTTCGACGCAACGCGAAAAGGAGCGTCCCCCCCCCCCCCNCCCCCCCAACACTCACCGTGAAATTATCACCCAGCTCCGGCAAATGATAGTCGCCGTATTGCTCGATGATACACTGCACCTTCTCGTGATAGTGTCGCAACGTCTCGTCGCTCCACCATTGCCGAAGATTGCCGTTTTCATCGTACCTACGACCTGACACGGAAAAGAAAGGAGGAGAGAAAAGTTAAAAGGATGTAATCGCTTAATTCTAGAGTTACTTTATTAGTTAATTATTCTCTTCACATTCGGCTGTGATTGGTCAATTTTTTAAGACTTAAAATACCTATCGCGGACCGACACTTAGGGATACGTGTGCACATTTCTGCGTCGAGGGGTAGGGATGATGAGTTTAGCGACACGAGTTGTGCGTCGCGTCGCATCGTCGATTACGCACCTTGATCGTCGAAACCGTGCGTAAGCTCGTGGCCCATAATAGCCCCCATGGCGCCGTAATTGATGGACCTGCAAGAGTGTAACAACTTCTGATAAAGAGTGATTCGGCTCGCAGACTTTAACAGCTTCATTCTTAGGAATATTTATGCACTTGTGCAATAACTTTTTTTTCATTATTATTTTCTTCGGATTACGTTCTTTTAATGAAACACGGGAAATGCATTAGTTACCGTATAATTTTCGATTAGACTTGACGAATAAAGTATCAGAGCTTAATATCGATGTATATAATTGCGAGACGAACGTCGTCTAAATAAATATATTTATATCTCGTTGAAATAGAAATGAGTTTAGCCGTGTATGTTGTACCATTCTCTGGGCGGACAATTACATGATCTTTTTAACTTTATACATAGTCTATAAGGTTGAAAATTGCATGAGTAATTTTGACTACAGTATAATAAGGCTCCAATTATAACGGTTTTGATTTTGCGTGTACGATCGTACGGAAGAAGAAACGGAAGAACAATAGTTCTTCTTCAATAGTAGGCTATAATATAAAATTAAAAATCGTGTGTAATTTTCTATTTGGAGAATAATGTCCCGGGGGAAAAAAGATCATGTGTGAAATTTGTCCATATATGACTGTGTATAATCATATATGTCCACAATGAAAAAATATTGTTGTTTACAAATTATATGCAAGTACAATCGAAGTAAATGCTTCTGGTTACTTGCGCTTCTGACAGCACACGATATCGATATTTAATTAAATGACATAACATCATTTTTTTCATATAGACATGTATGATATGTGACCACATATATGGACAAAATTCATATATAATTTTATATAATTACAGTCAGTCATATGTAATCATTTTTTCCCGGGATATCATATAGTCGATGACAGGATTGACGGTTGCAACATTTTTTTTTTCTTAACATTTTTCGGATCATACGAAAATGACGATGTAACAAATTTATAATTCACAAAAATGCGCAGTAGATGGTGGTCAAAAAAATAGTTGTCAAAAAAAATTACATGTGCATATTTAATTTTGATACATATATATATGTAATTTTGACAGCTGATTATCTACTGCGCATGTTTGTGCATTATAGTTACTCTTCGTCGTATCTTTCGTGTGTTCCGAAGTATATATAAAAAAAAACCTGTTGCGACCGTTCTGCAATCCATCGTACATGACGCCGATCGTAGACGAATCTCGTCTACAAAATATGAATTTATACGTACTCCAATCCGTTGCCGTAGAATGGTGGGTGCAGGATACCAGCTGGGAAAGCTACGATAAGATTTTCCCTTTAATGCGTCGAATTGTTCGAACAATCGAATTAAAATTCGCAGAGCGATAATAGAGCGGAGAAACGAACATATATCGGATAGGAAATTAACTACTTACTGACTGAATTCAATATGGCGCTATAGAACGCATTTACCGTCGTGCCGGTTGATATCCACCGGTTCTTATCAGGCTTTTCGCGAAGATTGTTCAAACTTTTTCTCACGCTCACGTTAGTCAGCTTCAGAAAAGTGGCGAATAATTTCCCGTCGATCACCTCCGCCTGCAATACGAGAACGAGCGAATTTGGTGGACGATTTGCGATCTTCGTCCCGTGATCTTCGTCAGCGAGACCACGGAGTTATGAATTTTCCAATCGGCCCATCGATACGATTCAGATAGCGATAAATGTGTAACGTATGTAGAGATGATATATATTTACCCCGTCATAGAACTTGTCCAGTTCCTTCGGATTGGTGATCCAGTCGGGAAATCCTACGAACGGTCTCATCGCGTGTAATTTTCGATGGGCCCGAGCTCTCGTGCCGATGTCCATCCAATCCAGTTCCGCGACCATCTCGTCGAACGCCGCCCTGATATCCAACAGCATCTCCAATGCCTACATGTGACATTTAGAAAGCAGTATAACTATTTGCTACGAATCATTTACTACGAGAATCGCTTTCTCCCTTTTATCCTTTCAGATTGAATGTAAATTAGGTCGAATGTCATCATTAAGATTTTTCTCTCTTATATATGTACTCTTAATTTTTAATTTACTGCATTATCAATGAAACTTTCGATTTGACGTTATTCTTTTTATTCAAGCGAATTTAAAAGAAGTTGCGATTCGTGCTCTCCATCAGCGAGACCGGGGTTATGAATTCTCCAATCGGCCCATCGATATGATAACGATCAATATTTACAAATGTGTTAGCTTCCCTCGTGAGAATTGAGAAAACTGAACTGTTATGCTCATAAAGAATTTCCGATATTCAACATATTCGATGCTATAAAAAAAGCGGAGATATGCCGGTTTTTTCTCAGTGTAAGATCTATCATTCGTTTCCCAGTAAACGCACCAACTAACTAACAGTAACATAGTTATATCTATAGTTTAAAGTTTTGAAAAAAAATCGTCCTTCCAATTTTTCCGCGGATTTCTTCGATTATTGTCCCGAGGACATGAAAATTCGTTTTGAAAAATTTACGTCCCGGGAAAAAATATTATTATATATGATTATATATAATTATATAAAATCATATATAAATTTTGCCCATATATGTGATTACATATATGATCATGCATGTCTATATTACGAAAAAAAGAAAAATGATGTGTCATTTGATTAAATGTCGATATCATACGCTGTCAGAAGCACAAGTGGTCAGTTATTTCGATGTATTACATAATTTGTAAATAACAGTATTTTTTTGTTGTAGACACATATGATCGTATGTATATGGTCATATATGGGCAAATTTCACATATGACTTTCTTTTCCCGGGATATGTTCCGTTAAAGTTTACTTCTTTCCGTGAAAAAGATAAGAAATAAAAGAATTCGTGGAAAAATTAGGGGAACATTTTTTTGTAAAACTTTAAAACTACAATTACATTATTGAGTAGGAAACATTGTTGTGATGTTACTGGTTGGTTCACCGGGTTTAAATCGACCGTTTACTTTTTCTTTTTCGTCCTCTGTGGTTCTTTCTTTTCTTCATTCACCAACCTTTTCTCGCGCCTGTTCGTTGAAGTGTTTCTGCGCGTAAACGTAGCTGAGCGCCATGCCGAAGTTCGCGTTGGCATTGCCGGTACATCCCTTCCAACGCGGGGTCTTCTCCTTCAGCCCGTAGACCTTCTGCGAGAACTGGAAGCCGAGGTCGCGGAACTTCTGTAGTGTCAGTGGGGCAACGGTCGAATACACGTTCCACCAGACGAATCGGACTGAAAAATTGGCCGGACATTCATCATCGTTACATTATCCGCCGTCTATTCGATTCCCCCGACGGCAAAACAATCGCGGCTTCCGCGGTGGACGGGATCCGATAGCTTTCGACCTCCGTGACCCCCTTCGGGGTACTTTTATTTCTCTCGAATGTTCTCGCAACCGATCGTACACGCGAATCATTGATGCTGTTAAGGTTTCTGCGTAGTCGCCGCAGTCATCTTGTTTTATGACGTCAGAAGCGCCATGCCCGGTCGAATCGAGAGGATTCTTTCAGCATTTTGCAGGAAAGCGGTGCTTTCTTCACCTATTGGTCCTAGTTAATTCGCCGTATTATCGGTTTATTATTGTCGACGAAGTCGGCCTGAGCTCGGTATTCTGCAATGGTCTCGCTCGTAAAAAGTACAGAGAGAGAGAGAGAGAGAGAGAGATGTTCATGCGAGTCTACGAATGCGACGAGAATAATAAGCTAAATTTAGCTCGATAGCTTACTACGAATAATGAATGATAGAACTGTAGGAATATGGGGAGCGATAAGAGTCGCGCGCGCAACGTTCTCATGCATCGGACAATACGATCGGTGGAAACGATTGCCATCTCGCGCGAATCTGCGAATTCTCGCAGAACGCGAAGGGGCGCTGCGCGAACTATTTGTTAAATAATATGCCAAGAATATTATGCGAAGTGGACGTCAGTGGAACATTTCTATAATATAAAAAAAATACAACATTCTAAGAATATTATTTCAATATTGAATAATATTCGTATAATATTCTGGGAATATTACACACTCAGGGTGAGATCCATTTCCCGTGTATTCGCCATCCTTGCGAGGGCTGTAATAAAGCGGAAAGCGCGACTCGCAATCCGAGTGAGTGAGTGAGTGTGCATTAGCGAATCGAGTGGCAATCGGCGAGAGGGTGCGGACGTACCTATCGTGGCGTGCGGCGTGACGGACAGCAGCAACGGTAATTTCTGCAAATAGTGCAGGTCCATTATGATAACTCGATCCTCAGCCGGATTTATCGTGACATTCGTGTTCTCGAACGCGGCCTCCAGATACCTCGTCCAATTCCACTGAAACATCGCGCGCCCCGCTCGTGTTTAATTGCACAACGAGACAATCGTCTAGAAATTCTCTCATTCCTCTTCGTCGCATCATACAATCTCTCTTTTCCTCTTCTTTAGCAATCGACCAGCTTTGTTAAGTCTAATTGTTCACGATACGCGTGCCGTGAGGAATTGCTCGCTGTGTCCTCGCGCGAGCATATTGTGGGAACGATTGAGCTTAGTGAGAAAGGAGTGTAACCGACGCATCATGATAATATTAAGAGAATGCCAGGAGTCGACGATAAAAGCAACGATAACGTGAGAGATCCTCAAGATGTTACGTTGACACGATCGCGCTACTCTTTTTGTATTTTCGTCCGTACTATCGGCGTGCTGCACCGTTTTCTAGATTAACATTTGTTACTTGTTATACAAATTTTCACACGTGTAAGGTTTAAAATATTATAATCCCAGTCCCATTATAACCCTACTGTTATAATTAGAATTACTTCTGCGATTTTCAACCTTATGCGTTTAAAGTTAGAAATCGGGTGACTCTCTCTTTTATCAAATCTAATAGAAAATCTAGCTAAGATATATAAGAAATTTTCTGCATACCTTTCGCGTCTCCTTAGACCTCTAAATTTAATTAAGAGAAAGCATAGGATTCTTCTTTGAAATTTTTCCTGATTGTGAAATATTGACACATTTTGCAAATATGCAAAATTTCGGATTGTTAATGGCTATGTATGAACATGTATAATAACTCAAAAATTTTTGTATATTTTGCAAAATGGTAAAGGACATTTTTGTTCACCTCAATCCGTTCTACGCGCTCATGAAATTTTGTTCATTGAGTTCTGGGACACCCTGTATATATAAGTTGCAAGATACTAAGTGAATATTCACGCTAACTGACAGCTAAAGATATCAATTTTGACATTTTTATCGTTTTCGTCACATAGTGAACAAATCTTCAACTCATCTTACTCATTTTCACTGTACAAAAGCGCTTGTAATTCTATATAACCAATATGACATAAACTTTGCGGAAAGAAGTCAGTATTCTGTCCGTAAAATTGTCAAGTGACACTCCCTTATATAATTCTCCATTACGTTGCTCAATTGTTGTTGTAATTTTCTTTCGTTATTGTTTCGTTTTTAGTTTTTACGCATCGTCCTACCTGTAACACGTGCAGATCGGTGAGTTCCTGCAGCTCGTTGATCGTCACGTCGTGAATCAAGTGATCCGAGCTGCGCCGCTCCTCGGGTGTCGCCATGATCTGGATGGATTTCGAAAATGATTAAACGCGCGCTTGCGAACGACTGTTCTTGCTTGGGGAGTTGAATGACCGGAGATAAAAGGCATTCGGTTGATATACACCCCAGTCGGTCATCGGCTGCAGTTTATCAAGATCGGCAACCTCGAATTTCGTAATAACTTGAGAGAAAGATCCGAAACAACACACAGTACATGGAGTAAACACAAGTGTTCGTCACGAAGTAATGTGACGAGAAGAGAAGTCAAATCGCGCGGAAGACTGATCGAGCAAACGGCATTGAACGGCGCTCACCTTGGCGATTTTTGTGCTAAACTCCAAAATCTCATTGGCATAATTTGCGCTCATATTACCGGCCCCGGCGAGTTCGACCATGGCCTTGATGTACTTCTTGTATTCCGTTAATTCCGACTGAAATCGCCGTGGATCCAGTAGGTAACGTTCGCTAAATCCGGGGGACACCTGCTCCATCTAAAAGGATTTCGTTCCCTCTTGATATACAGCTCCTTTCCATATTATTAGACGCACCTTAATTTTGTACAATCCATTAAATTCCGAGGAACAGTTTTATAATACGGCTCGTCTATCGATTGAATTATGTTGAGGAACCGTTATTCTATAAAAGGTATTTTTTTATGGCGTCATTTCACTTGACTGTTACAATGACCTTGAACAAATATGAACCCGCATTGTTGATAATAACTTCCACAAATAGGTGATTACTATTATTAGTTGCCTAGAATAGAATTAAGCCTCTACCAAGTTTATTAAAATGTCAAATAGTAGAAAATATTTTTTTTTACCATGAGCTGTACTCACCTTCATCTTGGGGACGATGGATATTGTGGTCTAAATTGACGTTAATATGAGAGTAGTGACGGAATAAACGGAAATATTTTATTAATTTACTTACTAGTTATGAAAAAGGCTTAGATATCATAGTGACATATCTAGACTAATGATTAATTACGGTTTTACAGATCGAGTTTTTTTCTCATCTAACGATTATTATTGACATTCTTAATAATCCATGCAATACAAAAAAATTGTCTAATGGAAATCGGGAGGAACAACGATCGTACATATATATATATATATTGGCTCTCCTTTCTTAAATGTAAATTTCTCAATTTCCTAAATATAAATTTCTTGTGTACATTTTTGTCAAATTTCCCAAGCATCGATCGTTGCTCGATCCACTCGTCTCGCACACTGAAACGTTCCTTTCAGATATATAATCGTATTCTCACCATCATTCGATTCCTCGTAGTGTCACGGATGTCTTCGCTGATGTAGAAATGAATGAGGAAATTCAGACCCAGCGCTCTCTGCGCTACGCCCGCTATCCTCGGTAAATCGATAGAAGGTATTTTCCCCTGCATCGGCGGCTCTTTCGGTAGGCCCAATTTATCGAGTACCTTGAAAATCGGTCCCAATCCCATTGCCTCGACGCTCGCTGCAATTCGACGGTGGTATCGTATTTTCCGTATGACTTTACAAAGCACGTTTGATCGTCGAGGCCATGAGTAATAATAATAATAATAATGATGAATAATGATGAATAATTTTACAGGCCGCTTTGTACGTAACGTAACACATTTCGTTATTACTTCCAATTATTCGGCAGATCGCGATCGAACTCGTCACGAGTTGTTTCTATTGAAATCGCTCGCACGTTGTTTCTATTTAAGTCATTTGCACAGTTAGCCCCCCCCCTCCCCCC